CGCCTTCTCTGTCCCTAACTAACAGTCACTCCTCAGCGCTGGTGAAGGGATCTGTAACTCACCCCACCGCCTTCTCTGTCCCTAACTAACAGTCACTCCTCAGCGCTGGCGAAGCGATCTGTAACTCACCCCGCCGCCTTCTCTGTCCCTAACTAACAGTCACTCCTCAGCGCTGGCGAAGGGATCTGTAACTCACCCCGCCGCCTTCTCTGTCCCTAACTAACAGTCACTCCTCAGCGCTGGCGAAGTGACCTGTAACTCACCCCACCGCCTTCTCTGTCCCTAACTAACAGTCACTCCTCAGCGCTGGCGAAGTGATCTGTAACTCACTCCACCGCCTTCTCTGTCCCTAATGTTGAGAAGAAGCAATGCCTCCTTCTCTGGGGCAACCGTGGTGCTAATAGTCTTATCCTGTATTCTGTGTAATTTTCCGTGTTTGTCTCCCCATGTGAATTGTGAGCAGCTTGTGGGGAGCTTGTGAGCACCTTGTTTTTCTTCAGACCGAAAGAGCCGATAGTTAGTAATAGTTGAATGAATTTTCTCTGGGTGCTACCTTATTCATAGAACTCACCGGTCTGCGTTCACTCACAGTTGTTCACCTTTATGAAAATGACTCTAGAATCCTCTTCTCCATACCTTGCTGTTCCACTCCCGTTCTTCCAGCAGACACCCCCCCAAACACACAAGGCGTCACGGTTGTATATCCGTCCTGTCCCGTCCCACCCCCCCACCCCCCCCTGCTCCCTCTTGAATGCCATGTGACTGTTCAAGCATGAGAACCTGGGATTGCCAAGGGACTCCTCGGTCTCCTCTCAGACTGCATGCCGGTGAGGGTCTGAGTGTGCATGTCTGCCTACAGATCTGTAACGTTAGTACACTTTGAGAGATAGACGACTTTGTCTGCTGTGTGGTTGTGTTGAAGCATAGACGTGTTCAGGGGACAGTTGAAATGCCCTTAGGTTTTGAGTTTGAACTGCTCCACAGGTAGTTCATGACTTTCCCCAAGCACCTATAGAGTAAGGACTATTTCAAAGTGTGTAGTAGTAAACTGCATTATTTGGGAGGTCAGGCAAAGGCTAAATTCAGTGTTATAACTTCTAGACTGTGGTTTCTTAGACTTTTGTATTTCATTGATTGGAAAGATGTAACATGGATTGGAAAGATGATATGACATCATTAAGAAAACAACTGTCCGCTATCACTGTCATTTAGTAAAAGAAAAGACATTTTGACACCAGGAAAGAAGGGAAGATACATGTCAGTGAAAGGCTCTTCCCTTCACGTTGAATGAATGAAGTCTTATTATAGACTTTTATTTTGCCATGTATGATGGGACTTTTGTCATGAATCACAACCGGCCTGTGGCCCCGCCTTTGAAACCTTCTGCTCTGAAAGAAGCAAAAGCAGGCAGACTGCTGTCAGGTGAGCATGATGCCCCAGACTGTACAGGGCTGACAGTCCACCCCAATGTCTGATCCACCATGTGACAGATTGTATTTTCCACAGTGGCCACATCTCACATCCTACCTGCTCTTCCTGCAATGTGACCAAGACACTCCTCGCACAGAGGGGGGTCTCTGTTCTCTCCTCCTGAATCTGGGCAGGCCCAGGCTATGTGATGTCCGGAGATCGTAAAGGATCATAGAAGGTGATGTAGCTTCTGCCTAGTTCTCTTGAGACGCTCGCTCCCGGAAACCAGCCTGTGGGTAGACCACATGAACGGGAACGGAGGCCCAGCCCCCCGCCGGGCCGAGCTCCGGCCAGCAGTCGCTCCCGGCTTGCCAGCGAATGAATGAGCCTCTTGGAAGTGGATCCTCCGGTCAAGCTCTGAAGCTAACGCTGTGTGGAGCAGAGACAAGCCTTCCGCGTCTTGCCCTGCAAAACTGTAGGTTATGGCCGAATAAATGATTGTTGTTATTTTAAACTACCGAGTTTGGGTCTGTTTGTTACACAGCAGTATATAACCTGCAACGTACATCATGCAACTTTCGGGACCTGGGAGTGAGAGGTTGACAACAAGCCCTACAGCACGTGGCACTGCCTTTCTAGGGTGGGCAGTGGGCAGAGGGAGCTAGCGGAGAGGTTACCGAAAGCCTGCAGGACTATAGGTGGGTTATTACAGAATCCTTTCTTTTTTAAAATATATTTTTACTGATTTTTAGAGAGAGTGGAAGGGGGAAAGAGAAACATCGATATAAGAGCAAAACATCGATCGGTTGCCTCCTGCGTGCCACCTCCTGGGGATTGAGCCAGCAGTGTGGGCATGTGCCCTGACCAGGAATTGAACCAGCAACCTCTTGACGCATGGGATGATGCCCAGCCAACCGGCTCACATCGGCAGGGCCGGCTGATTCATGAAGGGTCTCTAGGGTGCCATTCGTGGGAGTTTGTAGGAAAGCAAGGAAGATGTTACTAGAAGCTGGAGAAAAGGGGCCCTTGTTATGTGATGGTGGTAAGTTCGGCCACACTTGTCCAAGTCACGAACTCGGTGATCCTGATCAGGGTTTCTCCAGACAGTGTTCAGGTGCCACCTGGCTGCTTCTGAAGCGTCCGAGGAGACAGGAGCTGAAAAGGAACAGTTCTGTTGTCAAATACAATGTCAAAGAAATACCAAGAAGCCAATACCCGGTGGGTTTGACGAGAAAATCGTTTCTCACTGCCAGCCTTTCTCGATGGCCAAAAGATTCTCAAACTAAGAAGTGGCTTCTGAGAAAAGAGAAAGCTCTCGGGTGGGGTTGTGAGGTCCTTTGTGAAGACTGAGAGCTCTGAGATGTGACGCATAGAGCCTTTCAGACTTGAGTGGGCTTTCTCAGTGCAGCTGGCCAGGGGGCCTCTGGCTGCCCGAGGCGCCACCGTCACCGCTCTCTGTGGGCAGAGGACAGCTCCCTCCCAATAACGTGTACATATCAACTAGGGAACCATCTGATTCGTCTTGTCTGAGCCCCATGCCCATCCCTGAACCAATCATAGTGTTAGAGGGAGAGGAAACGATGACTAACCAACTGTGTTCCATGCCCGCCTCAGTCCCCTAGGGTAGTCTATCATCAGAAGATGGGGTTGGGGGTCAATCCACGGGGCAGCTTCTCAGCCCTCAGTTCCCAAAGCTACCCAAGTCTACTCAGTTGGTGCAACTGACAATGGTGAAATAGAAATTTAGTACTGCTTTTTTGAAACTCTATGGAAAGGATGATAGTGTAATTTGATCTCCGTACTTTAGTTATGTCCTATCTGTAGGTCTCAGAACCGTATGTAATCTAGAGCCGATTTTGAATTCTGTCCAAGTTTTCTTGAGGTGTGAGGACTTTTCTAAAGGCCATGGAGAACCTGAACTTTGAAATGTAAAAGTGCATGGGTATTACCTGTAGGGTCTAGGTGAGCCAAGTGAGCCTGAAGAGATGGTAATAGAATAGGAACTAGACAGAGTCTAAAAGGACATCACTCAAAGTGATCGGAGGCAGTGCGGCTGAGGAAAATTACGGTGACAAGCAGTATAGGTAAAGGTGAAGATGAAAATGGGAGAGAAGGTAGTGGACTTGGTAAATAGGAGGTTAATTAATGGCATGTTGGAAAGAGTAAGGGATGGGTCTCTCAGAGACAGCCTGTGAACAAGACTTAAAAAATTTTTTTCTTTATTGATTTTAGAGAAAGAGGAAGGGAGAAGGAAATAGAGATAGACACATCGATGAGAGAGAACTTTGATTGGCTGCCTCCTGCATGCATGTGCCCTGACCGGGGATTGAACCGGCGACTTCTTGGTGCATGGGTCAACGCTCAGCCACCGAGCCACACCAGCCGGGCGAACAAGACTTTTTTTAAAAACATGGACCTTGGGATTTGAGGTAAGGATGGGCCCAGTGGCTTCAAAGTACCATACCAGACAACAAAATATTTGGGGGAACGGTGTGTGGGTACCAGCGGTGGCGATTACAGTCAGGGGCAGACACAGAACTGTTGACTGAAACTAATTTCAAGTAGGAATTGGAACTTATCATTTGTCAAGGTTTCCTTGATACATAATGATGAATGATAGATTTAGTAATCTCACTGTTGTGGTGTTATCCTTGGTGCCTTGGGCAAGAGGATTTGATGAGCGTGACATAGGAACGAAAGAGCAGAATTTCATCATCACAAAGCAACTTCCTTGAAAGTAAACTACAAGTTGATTATAATGTTCATTTGTTTACATTTATACTGTATTTGTTTTTTAGTGATTAGAGTTGAGGCAACACTATCTAAGTTAAACATCACAGAATTGGGGGTGCATTTGTTCTATGAAGAGTGGGTGAGATTGTTTCTTTAGACTGAGGACCAAAAGCCAATGAAAAATAGGAGTCAAGCCCTGGCCGGTTTGGCTCAGTGGTTAGAGCGTCGGCCTGCGGTCCGGAGAGACCTGGGTTCGGTTCCCGCTAAGGGCACGTACTTCGGTTGCAGTTTGTCCCCGGCCCTGGTTGGTCGTCGGTGGCAGCCACTCGATGTGACCCTTTCACATCGATGTTTCTCTCTCTCTCTCCCTCCCACTCTATCTGTACAAAAAATGGAAAAATGTCCTCGGGTGAGGATAAAAAAAAAAAAGGAGTCAAGGAGGGAAATGGGAGTAAGAGACTCCCATTGAAGGGGAAGGAGTGGTAGAAAGAGAAAATGAAAAAGGATGAATGAAAAAGAGCTCGGGAGACAAGGCAGTGTTGAAGAGGGTTAGTGTTGAATAAAGAAAAATAGAGTGTATATTTTTAAACATTTAGCAGGAGGTTCTGTTTAAATGGTCAGTGACCGTTTCAGCTGTTAGGCTAGGCAGTGAAAATCAGTTAAGACAGTTGTTGATACAGTCACAGCCTGAGCAGGAAGAAATGCAAGCTGCCCTGGAACTGGGTCACTTAGCTGTTTCTGGATTGGACGTGGGGATGATATAGGTAGCCAATCAGAATGAAAATGAGTCGGCAAGAAACCAATAGGAAGTAGGCATGGAAATGACTTTCAGTGTGGTATCAGTTGGCAGTACTGACCCTGGCAAACAGACGCAGAGCCCAGTGAGTGCGGTTCTTTGTGGTTTTCGACAGCCTCCATCGGGATTTCAATTCGGAGCCCCCTGAGCCTTGGAAGAAGACACCCCTCGTCTTGGTAGTTTGGAGAAGATTTGAGGGTGATGCTGTAGTGAAAAGTGGCGACAGCAGGATGTGAAGATGACAAGGACCTGAAGACAGGTGAAGTGATTTGAAGACGTAGCATTTGAAATCTCATTTCTTGCCCAGCCTCTGCTTCCCACCAGAATCATTGTGTTTGTAGACCAGACAGGTGCAAAACAAAGAACCAGAAATGAGCTCTAAATATTATTGGGGATACTTCAGGAACCTCTAGGAGTCTTTAGGTCAAGACGAGCAACAAGGAAAAATAAAACAGAAACAGTCCTTCTCAGACTGCCCCCAGTGGCTCTGTCCTACATGGGGCACCAGCACAGGGGGGGTGTTGAGACTGAAATCCAGCCTTTTGTTCATGTGTGGCCCTGTGCCCTGTGGTCAGGAAAGGAGACTTTTTCAATTCATTCAAAGACAGCACATGATCAAACCTTAACTTGCATCTTTTCCTTTGTCTTCATGTTATTCACCCCCTTGCCACCCCCACCTAACTGGCGTGACCCAACTCTGATCTCATTTCCTGTTTGTCATTTTGGTTTTGGAGGGTCCTGGAGAGGAAAAGGGCACATGGGATTGCAGAATGATGAGAGAGGGCCCCCTCAAACAGTTCAGTTCATCACATATGTAGGGACAGCCTGTTATGTGCCAGGTACTGTGTGCGCAGCGTTCGTAAAAATTAATATTCAGCCCTAGCCCTCGAGAAACCCACTGTCCAGTGGGGAAGGTGAGCAAACACATTGCCATGTGGGACACGGGGAAGTGCAGAGATGCACACAGCCCCCACCCCCACCCCGCCCCCACAGTGCATGTAGCATCTCAGGAGCGCCTCCTGCTGTTTGCTCGCTGCAAAATGTTCCAGGAGCCTGAGCTGCACCAGGAGGTACGGACCAGTGCCCTGGGGCACGAAGTGTGCTCAGATCTGAGTGTGGTGCTCTCTTTGGTGGAAAGAACGTGTGTGCGGGCAGGTCTCATGTTCCCCTTTCTGCGTACATCACAGGTTGGTCTGCAGTTGTGCGTGTCGGGAATAACTCTGATGACTTCCTCAAGGAAGGACTGAAAAGCAAATGGCAAAAACAAACTCTTCCTTCTGGGGGGAAAACGAAGGGCACAAGCCTGATTTAGTCTGTGGAAGGCCAGCTGAGAGCATTTACAGTCATGGGCATTTCATAGCCGTCATGTGTTTGACGGTGGTTTTCGGAGGTAGGTGGCGGCTTTCACCTCTCGTCTTCCCTCTGCCCTTCCAGCCTTTGTCTGTGCAGGAAGCGATCACAACTACATCAGAAGAAGGGGCCCACGAGAGCGTAAGACGTGGGTGAATGCTGTCAGCCTCGCTTCATTTAATTACAAGTAGCGTCTACCCCGTGTTCCTCCACTCGGGGCCCTTGGCTGAGCACGGAGCATGGTAGGCGTAGAACGAGACTGCCCTTGCCCAAGGAGCCCTCTCGTGGGGGCAGTGGGCAAACACATCATTTCAATGCAGTGTGTGTAGGATCACTGAAAGGTATGGTCAACCATCTCTTGTGAGGCAAGAGCCCTAACACTGCTGGCCTGCCCAGCCAGGCCTTACCTGGCCCAAATGGTTGGAAAAAGGAGAGGGCAATCAGAGCCAATGGAACCTAGACACGCAATTCGCAATTTGCATAGCTGGGCTCATCAATTTTGTCTGTTCCATTACGTGAAAATGAGCCACCCACCCCGAACCCTACTGAGGAATTAAGAAAGGCTTCATATGTAAGGGTCTGTTCAACAGTGATGAAGGATTCAGGAGGTATAGCGAGCGGTCTCCAAGCAGATAAAACAACATCGGAAAACGCAGGCACTTGGTCCCACCATCCAGTGCTCACAATCAGAGAAGTTCCTAGTCCCCTTTGAAAACTTTTATTTGGGGAAAAATGTCAGCTGTTTTAAAATCCTTTTTGGAACTCGAAGACTATAAAGAAACAATGAAGCAACTGAACATAAAATCACCTTCACTTTATTTCATTGTATCGGAGTGAAATTGCTTTCCCTGGGGTCTTGAAAACTCTCACTAATGACCTTGGTCCCTGTTGGTCCTGCGAGGTGCTGGTGACCATGAACTTCACTGGTTCCAGGTCTTTGACGACTTCACAGACACACGTGTTCCAGCAGTAAAGGGCATTGCAGAGAGAAACACTTCTCGGTCTGGCCTTATGAATACGAAGTATTCAGTATTTACAGGTTTGGCTTGACCTGTGGCTGGACATCAGTAAATGCAGAGTCTGGGACCCCAGCAAACCTTGCTCAAGGCCTACATTAACTGGGTTAGAGTCTATAGATCACTTCTGGAGGGAACGAATCTTAGGGCAGACAGTGTGTTTCTTTTCTTTTTTCTTTATTGATTTTAGAGGGAGAGGGAGGGATAGAACATCAATGAGAGAGAACATTGGCCGCCTCCTGCACGCCCCCCACTGGGGATCGGGCCCACAACCTGGGCATGTGCTCTGACCGGGAATCGAAACGGTGATCTCTTGGTGCGGGGGTCGACGCTCAACCACTGAGCCACACTGGCTGGGTAGGGCACAGAGTTTCAAGGCACGGAAGTGCATGTGGACAGAGAATTAACAAGTATCTTTTGTTACTGGTCCCGTGAAAGCAGTTTTCACTGTGGTTAGAACTCCGTGAAAAGACTGTGGCTTTCAGTGAATCTAGAGAATCTCTGCTGGGGTAGTTCTGGTGAGTAATTACTGATATCAAGTGTCCTGGGAGATACGGAGTTCGGCTTTTCATAATGTCTCATCAGTAGACCCATAGGTCAGTGACACGGGGTGGGCAGATGGGAGGGTTTCGGCCCTTGGAGGTTTTCCAGGCTCACCTGTAAGACGCCTCGTCATGTGCGTCTCCTACTGAAGAGGCCGCATTTACAATGAAATGACACTCAGAGGAGGTTTGGTTGTTTTTTTTTCCTGTTAATTATTTATTCATAAGGAGATGACACTCAGAGTAAATTTAACATGAAATAACTAGAGAGAGGGGATAAGAAATTGTTTGGAGACTCTACATGACATCTAAATAACATGTACATTTATTTCTTTAGGGTTTATGAGGTCCTTTTTAAAGCTTTCTGAAGTTACTGCCTTGACAGTCCTTTCTGTACTGGGATTTGTGATGGGAACTCTGGCCTACCATTTTATTCAGGTAACATACGTGCCTAAGTCAGAGAAAAATGAAAGAACAGAGACCCCCAAACAAGGTCCGCTCCCACCCATCCCTGAATGTATGGATTTTTGAAAGTGTGAATTAGCTGCTGAAAAACATTAATCTGGTAGCAATATTTTTTTGAAAGGGAGAAACCATACAGTCAAGGAAACATAAATGAGAGATGCCTACGAAAAGCACCCGTGTGGAAGTGTAGACCATTCGACTGCATCCTTGGGTTCTTCACTGCCTTCCTCTGGAGTCGGCCCTGGTTTCCTTCCCCTGGTCACGTGCCGGCTTCTTCCGTGCTGTTGTCTTCAACCCGCGGAGACTCTGGTCGCAAAAGCAACTGTGGCTGTCCTGATGAAGCGTGGTTCCTCTTTTCTGACCGCCAGCCTCATATACGATAGAGTATAATAGAAATGTATAGGACAAACACCATATGTAAAGTAGACACAAGAAAAATGCCATTAACTTGTGAATTGATTAACTCGTGATTTCAGACGCACAGCAGTGTGATCGATAATAAGTCGTCTTCACTCATTCTTTTATTTTTTTAAACGTGGAGATGATACTTGTGCCCATCTAGGATGGTAGAAGCCTCGAGTTTCTTTTCTTTTTCTTTTCTTATCTTCACCCGAGGACATTTTTCCATTTTTTGTTTAGATAGAGTGGGAGGGAGAGAGAGGAAGAGAGAGAGAGAAACATCGACATGAAAGGGACACATCGAGTGGCTGCCACCTGTACCACCCAACCAGGGCCGGGGACAAACTGCAACCGAGGTACGTGCCCTTAGCAGGAACCAAACCTGGGTCTCTCTGGACCGCAGGCCGACGCTCTAACCGCTGAGCCAAACCGGCCAGGGCTTGAGTTTCTTTTCTAAAACACCAGCACTGCTAGCTGACATCATTCATTCATCCTCACAGCAACCCAATGGAAGTAGTTACTCTATTCCCATTTTACAGATGAGGGGACTGAGGCACATAGAGGTTAAGTAATGAAGATTGAACTATTAATTGGGCCAAACACCTTTTAGGAGGGAATACTTATGGCACTTCAGTCATTGTTGCTGTATTTTCTTTTCTTTTTTATTTATTTATTTTGGTACGTGCCCCTAGTGGGAACCGAACCTGAGACTCCCTGGTCCACAGGCCAACGCTCCAACCGCTAAGTCAAACCGGCCAGGGCTGTTGCTGTATTTTCCATTCCTTGTACAATGTTCATGATTTGTTTCCTGTATACACAATCTGTATATTATTTTTCTCTACCTGATTCATTGAACGATTTTAAAATCCTAAGCAAATGTCTATAAAATCACAAGTACCTGTGTAAGGTCCCACCCTTTATGCAAATTAGAATAAATATCTAAGAGTCAAGTAAAAAAAACTTATCTGTGCCCTGGCCATTGTTGCTCAGTGGTTAGAGTGTCAGCCTGAACACTGAAGGGTCCCAGGTTTGATTCCCGCTCAAGGGCACGTACCTGAGTTGCAGGTCCGTTCACTGCCCTGGTCGGGGTGTGTGCAGGAGGCAACCAATTGATGTGTCTCTCTCACACTGATAAAAAAAAATACTTATCTGTGACCCACCTAAAATCATCTCACCAATGTTCCACTTTTGAAACGTTGGTGACTTACACAGATAGTGTTCATGTAGCCCAAGCCCGCACAATTGTCTGTGAAATAGGGGACTACATGTAACTCATGTGGACAGTTAGATCAAGAACTCTCTCCAATACCCCCAGGACTGGCCTTTCGCATAATCCCCCATGAAATGCAAATTGGTTTATTCTAAACTTGATGTTGATTGATGCACCATCAACCCAATTTCTGATACTTCAAAATGGCAGCAAACTAATTTCTTGTGTGTTTTTGTTAGTGTAGGTGCATCACCTTGTCTACCCTCTTCTAAGAACGTCAAGTTACGCACTTTATTGTTACGTTTCACCTTTAATTATATTTATGGCTGCCCTGGATGTGGACTTTTATATCCTCAAGAATGTGCTTTGGCAGGTAAGAACACGTTTCAAAATACGTTATGGTCAGTTCTTATTCGTGTTGACAGAGAATATGGTTGTCTATGAAGAAGGTTAGTAATTCACAAATCCCACATTTTTAGTTGTTTTGCCCTCCTCATGCTGCAGAAGCAGTGATTAGAGAGAGGTGAGGGGAAGAAGTGGGGGTGACTGTTTGCTGAGTGACCACTGAACTAGGCAGTGGGTAAATGTCATTGCCATTTGACATGTAAACAGACTGCAAGCCAGGTGAACAGGTGGCAGGACCCGGATTCTAATTCGCAGCTGACTTGATCGCAACTGTATCTGTGGATCTAGTTTTGTTGCTAAAATGTTTTACTTGTGCGCTCGCTCTCTCTCTCTCTCTCAATCTCTTTCCCCCTTAACTATGCCTGCCAGACTATTTTATTTTTCCTTTCAAAGAACATTTATTTCTTTTGGTTTTATTTTGTGTTCCCCTCACCCCAACATCTTGAGTTGGATATTAGTTGTTTGATTTTTTTAGCTCGCTTACTTTTTGTGTTTTGTACAAGTAAAGTTTTCAAATTGTCCTATAACTGCTCTTCAGTGTAATATTCCACGTTTTGATTGTTAGTGTTTTTATTATCATTCCAATCCTACCTACGCTTTATTTTGCTTTTTTCCTTGACCCGTTAATCATTTAGAAATTGTTTTAAAATTTCCAAATATGGCTTGTTGTTATGATTTCTCTCATCACTGTGCAACCAGAGAACGCGCTTTATGTATCAATTCTTGTGATTTGTGGAGATTTGTTTTGCAGCCTAGTGCATGATCTGTTTTCCAAAACATTCTGTGTTTGCTTTCCAAAAATCTGTATTCTGTAACAGTTGAATACAGGGGTCTAAATTTGTTCAGTAGATTGTTTTGTTAATTATGAAGTTTGGTACAAAAGGGAATATTACTCAGCAATAAAAAAGGAACAGAGTATTGCTAGGAACCACATGGAAGAACTTAAATGTGTTATGCTAAGAGAAAGAAACGCAAACTCAAAACCCGCATGTTGTATAATTCCATTCATGCGCCTTCCTTCTAGCAAAGGCAGAGCTATAGGTTGGAGGACAGATCATTGGTTGCCAGGGACTGGGGAGGAGGGAAGAAACTGACTACAAAGGCGCAGCATGGGACATTTGGAGGGGTGATGGATCTGCTCTGTTTGTTTTCTTTAAAAGATTTTTAAAAACTGAGTTTAGAGAAAGAAATAAACATCATTGTGAGAGAGAAACATCAATCGGTTGCCTCCCGCATGCACCTTGACCAGGGATTGAACCCACAACCTAGGTATGTGCCCTGACCTGGAATCGAACCCACCACATTTTGGCGCATAGGATGGTGCTCCAACCAACTGAGTCGCTCTGCTTTGTTTTTGACTGTGGTCATGGCTAAATGACTGCCTGCATTTGTCAAAACTCACATCACTGTACCCCAAAAGAATGAATTTTCCTGTTTGTAAATGAAAGATAAATTTAAAAAGAAAGCAAAGGAAATAGATTTGGGTTTATTTCTCCCATACAGTTTTTGTACTCTGCATTTACCATGCTTTTCCTTTGCTTCCTTCCCTTCTCAATCAAGCTGATTCACTTTTCTTGATGCTTTTTGTCCCTTCCGCTTGTCTAAAGCTTTTCATTGTTATTTCTGTTTCTAAGGCAGTCACTGCTAATTGTCTGTTGGGTGTGCAGTCTCCCTTTCCCCCACTAACAGAAACACCACATTATCCAGCCTCCCGGACATCGGTGGTGGCCTTAGGGAAGTGTGGTCAATGAAAAGTACTACACAGAAGTTTGCGGAGCGAGGTTTCTTTGAGAATGCTGGCATGGTCTTTGGCCTTTTCTTTTCCTTTTCTTTCTACCTGGAGCCCTGCAGGAACACCAAGGGAGCCAGGAAACGTTTTACCCAGAAGCAGAAGTGTGCATGCCATTTTAAGAACATCATTTTGATGTTGAGAACTCTTAAGCAGGAAGAAGAGCCCTGGCCGGCTTGGCTCAGCGGTTAGAGTGTCCGCCTGCGGTCCGGAGAGACCCGGGTTCGGTTCCCGCTAAGGGCACGTACCTCGGTTGCAGTTTGTCCCCAGACCTGGTTGGTCGTGCGGGTGGCAGCCACTCGATGTGTCCCTTCACATGGATGTTTCCCTCGCTCTCTCTTCCTCTCTCTCCCTCCCACTCTGTCTGTACAAAAAGTGGAAGAATGTCCTCGGGTGAGGATAAAAAAAAAAAAAAGCAGGAAGAAGAACAAGAAAGATTGGGGAACTGGCCCTTCAACAATAAGGCAGACTCTCATTTGTTTGGAAGGGATGGTTTCTTTGAGGCAGGTGAACAAGAAACTACCTTTTCAAGTTCTCTTCCAGAGGAACGGTGTAAAATACGCACCCAGGATCTGATTCCTGCGTGATGCGAAGCTCCGCTGTCTTCAGATGTCGAATCTGATACCGGGTAATGAATTGGTTTCACAGGTCTCATTAACTGGATTCATCAGCTTCTCCACGGCGTTCATCATAATTGGATATGTGGTCACGAAATTCAATAACCATTCGTGGGATCTGCAGTGCAGCCTGCTCTTCAGCATGACCCTTGGCATCACGGACTCGGTTCACTCCGTGAATTCACTGAAAACCATCGGTGAGTCGGGCCGACTCCTCTCTCATCGTGAAGATCTGAGGACAGCCCTGGCCGGTTTGGCTCAGCGGCTGGAGCGTCGACCTGCGGTCCGGAGAGACCCGGGTTCGGTTCCCGCTAAGGGCATGTACCTAGGTTGCAGTTAGTCCCCGGCCCTGGTTGGTTGTGTGGGTGGCAGCCACTCGATGTGTCCCTTTCACATCGATGTTTCTCTCTCTTTCTCTCTCTTCCTCTCTCTCCCTCCCGCTATATCTGAACAAAATATGGAAAAATGTCCTCGGGGTGAGGATAAAAAAAAAAAAAAAAAGATCTGAGGATAAACGGTCTGCCTTTGGTTACATTTTTCTTGCCCAAATGGTGCACCCGGCGGTGTAGATGTCTGTGCTGCTCTTGGCGATGGAGCCATGAGTGACGGAGGGCACAGTGCAGAGGAGGCCACCCAGGGTCTGGGTTCAGTGGCACCCGTTAGGATCTCAAAGGAATTTTTTTTTTTTCCAAGAAGAAAACGTAACTTTTCTAGAAAGTGATAAAAATGAGCATTCTTATTCCATTCCACTGAGTTGTCAGGTAGAAACAGTGTCGTACCCCAGTGAGACGTCTCCAAGGCTTCCCTGCCTTTTCTTGGACTCCGTTTTGGACGAGCTGACCTTGGGCAGGTGCTTGTAGTTTATCTACAGGAAATGGGGTAAGAGTGTAGTCTGGCAAATATGTTACTCGATACAAGGCGACTCCCAGGAGGGTTTGTGGGGGTGTCTCATCTTGCTTGGTCAACTCGGCAATGCGAACACGAAATGGTTAGATGCCATGGTTTCTGTTTTCTTGACTCAGAAATATGTTCCTAACTAACTTTCGGGCATTGATTGTATTTTGTGGAAACATGTTACCTTATGACTGGCGTGGGAGAGCTCCAAGCTTCCCAGCAAGTGATATTCCCATTCTCACACCCACTTGTCCCTACAGGTGGGAAATGGGGTTCGAGACACTTGTGAGGGTAAGATTCTAAGTTCTCAGTCTGGTTCTGCCCTCTCTTCTTTCTCTCTTTTTTCTAAGTACAGTTTTCCTCTCTCTCCTTCCCCTGTCCTTCTCTTTCAGTCATTCGTGTTTGCCCCCGGTTCTGCTCACCTCCGTCTCTCCCTGCTCTCGTTTCTGCCATCCTTGACTCGAAGTGGCTGCAAGGAACTTTATGCTTTAGTTACTTATTGCAGTTTCCACATTAAAAAATGTTTTCAGCAAAGGAGTAGAACAGAAAGTCTTCTATTTCTTGAAAAGAAAACGAGTGAAGGTGTTTGGCTCTTCACTGATATTTTCTCTGTGTCGAAAATGCTCGGGTGGTACACGGGTTCTGGCCCCCATAACCGTTTTCTCCTGGTAGAAGAAATTAGCCTATGCTGGACTTTCATATAAATCAGACCGCCCGACGTGTGATCTTTGTGGCTGGCTTCTTCCACGTAGTGTCATGTTTTGAAGGGTCATCCATAGGTGTAACACGTATCGGTTCCATTGCAGGGAGAGACAGCGATGTTTTATCCACTCCCCAGCTGAGGGACTATGGCTGCTCCCACTTTTGTGCTATTAGGAGTAAGGCTGCTGTGTGCATTCACGTACAGATGTTTGTGTGGACACACGTTCTCAGTTCTCCTTGGTGTGCGTCCAGGAGCAGAATGGCTGGGTCACATTTTGTACTTATTTCTAAAATGTGATTCTTTTGACGTCTAATGATTCATGTTCACTCAGGCTAAATGCGGTGTCCTGGGAAGTGCCTTGTCTCCTTCTGCAGCCCACACCTGGTATGAGTCAATGGACATTCAAGGAGTACTGTGGTTGTGTCCCTTTGTCCCTGGAGAGAGGGACGGCATGGCGGAGAAATTAAAAACTGGTTCTGGTGACTGTCTCACAGACCCATCCCGGGCATGGCTGCCTTCTTTTGTTTCTAGTATCTTCTTTCTTTCCGTGTTTGTGTTTCTTGTGAAAAAGCATCATTTGCCCTGGCCGGTTTGGCTCAGCGGTTAGAGCGTCGGCCTGCGGTCCGGAGAGACCCGGGTTCGGTTCCCGCTAAGGGCACGTACCTTGGTTGCAGTTTGTCCCCGGCCCTGGTTGGGTCGTGTGGGTGGCGACCACTCGATGTGTCGCTTTCACGTCGATGTTTCTCTCTCTCTCTCTCCCTCTCCCTCTATCTGAACAAAATATCGAAAAATGTCCTCGGGTGAGGATAAAATAAATAAATAAAAAAAAAAAGCATCATTTACCATATGAAGTTATGTGTGGCATTTTCTTTCCCAGGCATCTCCAAAATGTATATTGATATCATTCGAGGAGAATCAACCATCATCTGCGGTGTCACGAGCATTCTGTTTGGAATTCTTCGGAACAACATGCAACAGTCGTTGGTGTTTAGGGGTAGGGACATTTTTCTCGTGTCTGCATATTTTCTCAAAGTCACACTTACACGGGGCATCTCAGTTCGGACCGAAATGAAAACCCATTCAAGACGCATTAACTTGACTGCTTTCTCTACACTTGATTCTTGGACCAGTGACAAGAGCACATCAGGCAACAAGAAAATAACTACATGCTATCTAGTTCTTTTCTTGGACACTAAGGGGGAAAGAATGTTAAATTCTTTCATCTCCCTCAATATGCATGTGCACGTGTGTGTGTATGTGTGTGCACGCGTACACACGCGCGCACAGATTTTTTCATCTGGCTCAGATTTACTTCTTTCCTGGGTCAGTCTGGATCTCCGGGGGTGGATGCAAAGGGCTGGCGTGGTCCCGGTGAAAGCAGTATGGTTCAGGCAGTACCCGGCGTCAGGTCCTCCAGCGCTAATTGTCAGATTCGCGCAAGTCAAGTTCACTGGGCTGTGGAGCACGGGGTCTCGCTAGGTTTCCAGACACGGTGTCAGCAGGGAAGAAGAGGGGAGCAATCTCAGCACGGAGAGGCGCAGGCGTCCCCCTGCCGTGGCGACGTGGTAACTGTAGGAGGAGGGAGGGCTGGAAGGAGAAAGGAAGGTCATGCGACAGGGGTCTGGGTGCTTCTCGGAAGGCGTTCAGGATGGGGACTACGATGGCGTAGCCTGAAATCTGCTCACTCACTGTCCCTACTGTCCCCAGTTATTGTGACTATAGAAAATGTCCCCTCTCCATTTCCCAAAGGCCACCCGGGCTGGGAGCAGGGGTCTTAAATGGACTGCAGATGGGCGGAGATCCCGGACGAGGTTTGCTTGGCCCTGACAGTTTATACAACATTTGAATTTGGATGGACATTCAGGTCTCTTCCGGGGGGACATTCACTCTCCAGCTTGTCACAAGCGTGTCACGGAATCCTCCGAAACGGGCCCTACGGGGCGTCTGACCTTGCTGTCCCTGGATGGGCAGACCTGGGACTGCAGACGCTCAGGGAACGTCCCCAGAGAGCCTCCTTGTCAGGCTGTCACAGGAGATCCCTCTGCTGGAGACCCAGGTCCCCGCTCGCCATCTGCCAGCACAGGCCCAAGTGCACAGGCCCAAGTGCCATCCACGAAGGAAACCAAGGTTAGAGTTCAACTTTGTTTTTCTCCTTTTCTTTTAGAGTTCCACGTGATTATGGACTTCTCCTTCCACATGTTGGGAAGCATCTTTTTTGGCTACTGGGGTGCCAGAATCATTCAGTTCATACTGACGGACCTATTTAGCAACACGCTGACGAGCGTCATCCTCTGCATCTCCCTGGTGTACATGACGTTCTACATCGGTAAGGCAGGGACAGCCCCACGAAGCGCTGTCCCCAAGGAGAGCTCCACAGACCTGTGTCCCTTGGCCTTGAATACAGTGGCCTCTCCCCAGCCGCCTCCCCCTTGCTGTGGCCCCTGTGTGGGTCTTGTCATCTCGTCCTTCTGCCACCGCCGGCTCTTCCTTGGTCCCTCTTACCGCCCCCGGAGTGTCAACTCCGAGTCCCTTCCCTTTGCCTTCTTCCTCTGTGGCGACTCGCTTTTTCTTTTTGGGCCCCACCGTGGGACCTTAGTCCCCGGCGGTCCCCGCAGAGGAGTCCGCTCTGTGTGATTCCTGCTCTGACCCTCAGCAACCGCCCCTCAAGGGAGAAAGCTGGGGGACGTGCTCAACAGTCTTTCATCCAACGGGCCCCAGACGGGGGGGGGGACTGTAGCGATGACGGCCCCCCCCCGGAGGCAGGCGGCAGGAAAGGGCAGAGAGGACTCAGGTGCAGCGGGTCCGGAAGGGAAGCAGGAGGGGGGAAGTCATCTGCTGGTCGTCCAGGGGCCGCGGGAAAGCTTCATTGGCCCGACTGGGGTGGCCAGTCCCCGAGAGCCACTGCAACTATGGTGAAACAGGGCGAGGCGGCTGCTGTCGCCTCACACAGCGGAGCGAACCCCTTGCACGAGGGCCTGGGGTGTCCAGAGCGCTGTCCCTCTGCCTCGCACCGCTGCCTGAACGCCGCGGAAGAGCGCCGCCTGGCGGCCGCTCGCTGCCCCGTCGGTAACCGCAGAGACAGCCGAGGGTCATCTTCCCTCGCTCCTTCCCTCCCCCCGTGGGTCTCGATATGCCTTCTGGGAGAGTTTCTTCAACTTGATAGTGTCACTGTTCCCACCAGACGGTGAGTTCTTTGGGGTGGAGGCTCGCTCGCCCCTCTTTTCATTCATTCTCTTTTCCGTGTTCGCCCCAGCCAAGCTCAGTGCTGCCCATTAGGAAGGTAACACGTGCTGATGGGGCAGACCCGTGCTAGTCTGCGCAGAGCTTTGGAGCTGCGCAGACTTGAGTTCGAATCCCAGCTCCGCGATTTATTAGCTGGGTGACTTTGGAATATTGCTTTTCTTTAATCCTCACCCGGGGATACTTTCCCATTGATTGTTAGAGTGGAGGGGGTGGGGAGGGGAGAGAGAAACATGGACTCGAGAGAGACACATCAGTTGACAGCTCTCCTTCTGGGGCACTGAAATGCAGTTTCATATTCTACCATTTGTAGTTTTTAAAAGATTTACTTTTCCTAATTACAAAAGTAATACATGTTTATTGTAGACTGTTGGAAAAATTCTGAAAAGTCAAAGAAGAAAAATAATCACCTGTAAACCCATGTTATAAATGTAACCACTGAGACATTTTGGTGCACACTTTTGCACCCCAGCCTTTGATAAAACACATATAAATGTGCACACATGTATTAGTGTAGGCATTCATGCCATGTACTCCTGTGGCATTGGATGTTGCTGAATAAGACGGCAGCGGTTTGCCCTGGCCGGTTTGGCTCAGCGGTTAGAGCGTTGGCCTGCGGTCCAGAGAGGCCCGGGTTCGGTTCCCGCTAAGGGCACGTACCTCAGTTGCAGTTTGTCCCCGGCCCTGGTTGGGTCATGCGGGTGGCAACCACTTGATGTGTCCCTTTCACGTGGATGTTTCTCTCTCTCTCTTCCTCTCCCTCCCACTCCCCCCCCCCCACTCCACCTGAACAAAAAACAAAAAAATGTCCTCAGATGAGGATTAAAAAAAAAAAAAAAGATAGCAGTGGTTTTAAGATAAAATTGCTCAGTGGTTTCTTCATTGCAGATGTCTCTAAGTAGTGCCTGTTACTGAAATGACTATGATGAGCTTTATAATCTAGTAATACTAATTGTGGGAAGTTGGAAAGATTTTGAGGGACATTTTTCCAGCTTTACTGCCATCGTTACTTACATTAAATTCCGTGTAAAAGTAAAAAGAAGCCTCAAGTGGATTTGAGGGATTAAATAAACCAAAGGAATAATAACACCCTGTTCCAATCAGCAAACAGTATTGCTTTGCTACGCAGCAAAGTGAGCCTGTAAAAACAGATAGCACAATAAGGATGATTGTCATTCATTCATTCCTGTTCCATCCTCACAGCAGGTCTGTGAGGCATCTTCTTGCGCAGATGTGGGATGGAGAAAAGGGGGGTCACATCCCCAGAGGCGGGATGGAGAAAAGGGGGGTCACGCCTTCGGAGCCACCAGCTCTACTCTGCTCCAAAGCGCCTTCCTTCCTTCCTTCCTTCCTTCCTTCCTTCCTTCCTTCCTTCCTTCCTTCCTTCCTGTCTGACATTTATAATTGGAAGCTGATGGCTCTGTGGCCCAGAACTGATGGAATTCATGATGTTCAGACATCCTTCATAGTGGCTCTTCCTGCCTCGACTCCCCTTACACCCCTGTTCAGAGCCCGAGGCATTGCAGTTTCAGGGGCATGTCTATCAGGCCAAAGAAGAGCTGGAGGACCTGCAACCACAGAGTTGGGGGCACAGTAGCCCCTAAACCACCCCCGAGGTACGGGGCAGGGGCTGTTGAACTTATGTTTCTATTAGCCCTGTCCTCACTCTATTACAGGGGTTGGCAGGCCACGGCTGGTGGACCAGATAGTCCTATGTTTGCACAGCCCATGAGCCAAGCACGGTTTTTACATTTTATAGCAGTTTAAAAAAAACTCGAAAGAAACATATTTTGTGGCATGCATGGGAAAATGACTTGAAATTCCAAGTTTGGTGTCCTTATTGATGGGACACTCATTTGTTTCTATGTTACCCCTGGTGGCTTATGTACCACAAGAGCTGAGTCAGGTCGTTTGGAGGGACCACGTGGCCCACCAAGACTAAATGCTTCTAGTCTGCTGGTTTAAAGAAGAGCGCCCACCTCTGGGCTACAGGGTAGGCCAAACCCCCGGAGCAACTTTCTAAGAAACCTTCCTCTTACATTCCCCCAGTCCCTCACTCGAGATGAAGTACCTCTGTGTGCAGATTTGAGTGCAACTAATTGTATTCATTTGTTTTCTCCCTAGTGGAATTTTTTAAAATGTCAGGTATGCTTGCTTTAATCACCGTGGGAATGAACTTAGATTCCTTAAGCTTTAAGCCGAGGATGGAGTTCATCATTACTAAGTAAGTGTCCTCTTGTATACTTGGTATCGATGGCATAGAATTTGGTGTTTAAGTGGTTCTGCCTTCCTGTACACTAGTAAAACTCCCTTTTTTAACTTTTTTCTACCTTTTCAGGGTTTGTTTTTTTACATCCTCACTTGAGGATCTGTTTTATTGGATTTTAGAGAGAGAGGAAGGGAGAGAGAGAGAAACACCAATGAGAAAGAGAAACCTCGATCGATTGCCTCCAGTACGTGCCCCAGCTGGTGATCAAACCCACAACCTGGGTATGTGCCCTGACTGGGAGTCAAACCCGCAGCCTGTTGGTATCTGGGACAACACTCCAACCAACGGAGCCACGTGGCTAGGGCAACTACCTTTTCTTTTTAAATTTACTGCTAGATATATTTAGAAAGAAGGTACCAACAATGATGCACATGAGTTAATAGTCCTGTTCTGAATAACGTACCAGTGATTCTGAGACCATAATGTTTTTTTACACAAAACTCTTTGGTAAACATTGACTTTGAATTGTGGGAAGTTGTAGTAGCGGGAAGGTACAGCTCCAACAAAACTCCCAGCTGCCCTTTTTACCTGGCGATGCAGAGTGTCATGGGGAACCTCTGGACAGAGATAGACCATTTGCCTGTCTACCCAGACGAGTGAGTTAGCCTTTCTCTGAGAGACCGCGAAGCTACAGAAGAATTGTTTGAGTTACTTCACACAAAATCATAGTCCAGTGTAGAAATTCTCACATCATATTATAGCAAATGTTAGAATGAGAAAAAGCAGCCGTCCTGTTTTCCTAGGACGATTAATTTCTTTAGTGCAAAGACTATCCATTGTTCTGAAATTAAGTTCTCCCTATTTTTTTTTTTTTTGGCATTTAAAATGTTCTTTCTCTTGTGAAAGTTTAGTGATAGAAGATGGTACATTTTTTTTTTTTTTACATTTATCTTTCAGCTAGACTGGGATGGAGAGAGAGAGGAAGAGAGAGAGGGGGAAACATCGATGTGAGAGAGACACATCGAGTGGCTGCCACCCACACAACCCAACCAGGGCTGGGGACAAACTGCAACCGAGGTACCTGCCCTTAGCGGGAACCGAACCCAGGACTCTCTGGTCCGTGGGCTGATGCTCTAACCGTTTAGCCAAACTGGCCAGGGCAATGGTACATTTTTTTATAGCTCTAGTTGGCCAAATATTAAAAATTGGCATTTACAACTATGCTAGTTTTAGGTATTTGCAAGTGATACTTTATTGGTATTTAAAGTCCAGAAGCTAATTCATGGAACGTATACTTTTTGTCTGAATTGGGACAGTTTCTTGAGCTCAGTTGTGCTGTCAGCATCATTATAAATTAATGATTCTCTTGATTCAATTGCTCATTCTTCCACCTGTTCAGCCAGTCTTTGTTCAGTGTCTACAGTGGCCTGGACATTGTGTCTTAGATTTGGGCTATGAACATAAGCCCCTCTCAGAAGGTCCTCATTGTTAAGTGGTGGATGTGTTTATGTGAGAAACTAATAATAAGTGCAAATAATTATGTGATTATTGGGATATATGTCAGGCATATTTTTAAGGTCCTGTGGAGACATTTAAAAAAGTATTCTGCTCAGTTATCCCATAATTTCTAAATTTTCAGAAAACTAAGCACTGGGATTTGAGATCCCACTCACACCCTTCCCTTCTAGGGGTTCTGAATTAATTGGGTCAAAAGATTGGACGCAGACAGAGGACCAGACTGTCTGCTCAACTGGGTGAAGCTGTATCAGAACACAGGGCTTATGACTGCAGCTAAATGAGGCTTCCCCTTGCTTCTTTCCAAATGGGGGGCTGAGACCCACGTACAGGGAGACTGGTTAGTGGGCCAGACACACTCACCCCGTCAGCTGAAGGGGGAGGTCCCAACAGAGGGTCCAAGAGGCGAAGAGACTTAAGATCCACCTGTAGAGGTCATACCTGGCCATGACCCTGACCCACCTGTGTTGCCACATGGAACCAACGTCTGTGCTCTGGTCTACTCAGTAAGAGTCTTTGGGGCTGGCACGTCGGAGTTTGGGAAGGGACCTGGGTGGCCCTTCATGCTCTTCTCCGCTTACGAGTGGAGTAGATGGCGGCGCTGTAGGGGTTCAGGGCAGGCCCACCTCCAGAGACGGAGCTTAGGATGGTTTGCGAGGAAGACGGAAGCAGCGCTAGCCTTGCCCCAGGGTTTTAGGAATTCAGCAGATGGAAAAGCAGACAGGAGACATTTTCAAGGTCGGGGACTTCCACGCAGATCTCAGTGGGGGAAACCACACAGAGGGCAGCGAGGTGACCAGTCGGCGTTCATGAAGCCCAGGTGAACCAGGTCGAGCCGGGGCAGGCCCACAGCTGGTACACTGCCCACCTGGGGTGGGGCTGGGGGGCAGGGAGCCTTATTTTCCTGCCATGCGAGGGGCAGCCCACAGCCACTGGTGTGATGAGGGCAATGGGGGCGTGGAACTGGGTGTATATTAGTTCCCACAAAATACTTTTAAATGCTGACTGTAGCAGTGGCAGAGGCCAGGGTGGCAGACGCTGGGATCCGTGCTTTGATGCGAAAAGGAAACTGTTGACAAAGCACATTGCGGACCACGTGATTTCCTCTCCATTCCTCGTAGGTTTCTGATAATGTTTTCGTCCGTCTTCCAGTACTTAACATACACGTTCTTTGGCATTATCGTCGGATGTGGAGAAGTCAACTATTTTAAGTTTAACATCCTCACGTTCACATTGATCTTATTTGTCACCGTGAACTGTGTAAGGTAAGAGTTCTGTTTGAGAGCGTGCCTGCTGGTCTTCGGTGCCCCAGCTCGTGATGAGCGTTGGGGGGCAGGGGGTCCAGCACGGAAGAGCCGTGGGCCTGCAGCCAGGAAGCCTGTGCTGTTGCCGGGCCCTGGCCACCGCTCGCTGCGCCACGCGGCATGTGCGTGTCTCTCTGCTTGTCAAGATTTCACCTGTTCCGTGGGAAGGGGCAGTGTCAGTGTAACCCGTGAGCTTGGTAGAAATGCACATTCATAGGCCCATCCCAGGGTGCGGAGTCGACTCTCCGGTGCTGAGATTCAGGGCACCGTTTCAGCCTGTTAGAGTCTGAGCACCACTGGACCAGACCGATGGCGGCTAACGTTTGTGTGGCTGCTCGCCATCATTTATTATCAGCACAGCTACCATAAGGCCATTCATTTATGAAGCAGTCGCCACGTACACAACACCATTCATGTTAACACCACCCTACGAGGCAGGGGTTATTCCATCATTTCCCAGATGACACACAGAGACGTTAAAATCTGGCCCTGAGTCACCCAGTTCATAAGGGCAGAGCTGGGATTTAAGCTTGACCCCCACAAGCATGTTTTCTCCAGAATGGCATGGCCCACTCATGGTAGTTGTATTACCATAGACATTTATGACGGTGTCTTTAGAGATGTGTTGTTGTTTCCATTCCGGGCAGGCCTAGCCAAGGGTGCTCACGTTATAAGATGCTCCCATGGAACGTGGCTTCTGCGTGCAACTCCAGAGTCACCGGCAAACGGAAGGGAGTGAGTGCAGCTCACGTTCCTGCCCACCAGGGGGAGCTCGTGTGCAAGCTGAGACTGGTCAGGGCGTCGAGGAAGGCTCTTTGCACATTGACTCAGGGACTCATCTTCACGCTCCTTGCAGTACTAGGAGATAAGAATTATTATCTCTATTTTATAGATGAAGACACTGGCCAAGAAAGGCAGAGTACCTTTTGCAAGGTCAAATGGCTAGTGAGGACCAGAGAGAGCAGGGGAATTTCTGGTTCCACCTCACCAGAACAAGGGTCTTCGTGGAGAGAGTCATCCCAGGGGGCCCTCGATCTATGGGTAGGCTTTCCAGGAGGCGTTCATTGAGAAGGACATTTCAGAGAGGGTGAGTCAAACTAAGGCCTGGACATGGTCGTCGTGAACGTATTGCACGCTGACCACATTCAAAACATCATTCTAAGCGCTGTGACTGTTGTCTCATTTAGTTGAACCCTCATAGCAATCCTTTGAGGCCGGTACAATTATTAGCATCATCTCCATTTTGCAGAAGGAGACACTGAGACTGAGACAGCTCAAAGGACGTGCTTACGTTTCCGCAGTTAGGGAAAGAAGTGTGAAGCCAGCTAGCCCTGCTCCGGAGCCTTTGCGGTCCGGCCTCTCCGTTGTTGTCAGGCGACAACACGAGTTGTTCTCCTCCGGCTGGGGTCACTGATATTCCAGAGAGAGATTGTTTAGTAAGGCAGGAAAGGCTGGTAAGACTTACTTTGTAAAAGGCTTAAACGCAAGGCAGAGGAGTCTGCCCAAATGCATTACATACATTATAGATGGTGATTGTAGATTTTCTGTTTCTCAGTGACAGGAAGTCTCTAAATTGTCTTGTGAAACCCCCAGCTCAGCAGCTGACACACTGTGTGCCTGTGCGTGTATGTATGTGAGGCTGAGAACACGTCAGTTTTGTTTCTACTGAAATCTTATGTGAAGGACAGTCCTGATACTGTTTTGGTGCGGGTCGCCTAAAGATGGTTTCTCAATGTTGGCACGGGGTCCTAGAGAAAAATGATGCATAGAGAAATAACACACACATGAAGATGATGTATGTGGCATTGAGTGTTTGGTTCTCGTGGGACCCCAGGAAAAATGTCGTGCTAAACTGATTAAGGTGTCTACAGTAACTTTCCTTTCTGCCGCGATCTGCACGTGCCCCAGGCTAATTTCTGAACCCGAACGTGGCCTTTAAGGGAACAGATGAGCTTGTTGATATTCTCTGAAGAAGTGTCCCTACAGGAAATTTACTGCCAGCATCGAAACTGTACACACTAATGTGAGTGATAAACCCTCACATTTGTATAGCACATCTAGCGCTACTTTGCCAGATTTGAGTATTCCGTGCAAGACAGTAGATTTGGCTAGTTCCAGAAAGTTTCTGAACAACTTATCAGTAAACTGGATGGTCTTTCCCGAAAAATTTTGTATGAAATTTAGTACTTAGTACATAGCTTCAACCATCAATAATAGAAATACGTAAGGCTGTGACTTACAAGAAAATGTGTTTCTCTCCACAGGTGGTTAACTATTATGTTAGTGAGCCCCATTCTGACGCGTTTGACTTTCGAATATAACTGGAGATGGGGAGTCATCATGTCGTGGTCTGGAATCAAAGGCGTTTTTAACTTGCTTTTGGCTCCTGAGATTTTTAATCTGTCTGAACATAAATCAGAGTCGCCACAACTGGTAGGAAAAATCATGACTCTTGACTACTCGTATTTATGCATTTTGTAGCACTTGTCATAATACCCAATAATAAAGTTCACCCTTTTAAAAGTTAGATTTGAAAAATGCATTCTTTAAAGTATAAAGTGTCCCGCAGATGAAACTTGACTGATGTTGGCAATCTGAAGGGGACCCACAGTCGAATAAAAATGATGGGCGTGGGGACGGGCGGACTTGGGATGGAACCCTAGCCCTGCCATTCATGGACTGAGCGACCTTGGGCAAGTCCCCGACACTTGTGGAACCTCCATTTCTAGCTGAGCATATAAATGCTGTTGTTTAAATTTTTTTTATTGATTTTTTTTTCTTTTGAGAGAGAGAGAGAGGAAGGGAGAGGTAGAGAGAGATAGAAACATTGATGAGAGAGAGAAGCATCAACATAGATTGACCACCTCCTGCACACCCCCCTTGGGGATGGAGCCCACAACCCAGGCACGTGTCCTGACCAGGAACCCAGCCAGCGACCTCTTGGTGCAGGGTCGGCACTCAACCACTGAGCCACGCCGGCCGGGCTGTAAATGCTGCGGTTTAATAGAACACCCCGTTTAGAGCACTCTGATCCCTCTAGTCCTTAGAGCGAAACCTGAAATGTTAGTTAAATGTGTGCTAGGGGAGGAAAGATTTTAAAAATACTTTCATTAAGGATCTAGCTATATTTAGGTCTTTAGCACTAATTTTTAAAAGTTAACTTCTTGAAAAATTTGGCTGACAACGTTATCTAGAGTGGAAAACAAAACCTGGTTCCGATTGCACTCTCTCAAAGCCCCTTCCCCAGGGGCCAGCTGGTGGGCTGCCTGGCGGTGGCAGCATCTGTGCTAGTGAGCCCCAGGGAGGACTGGAAGATCCTAGAGCCTCTGCTGACGGCATTAGGGCAGCTCCTCATCTGTGACGGCACTGTGTGCGCTGGCTGGCGAAGTGGCTGGGAGGTCCTAGAAGTCCCCAGCACACCCCTGCCACCGCCCAGTCAGATGAATGCCAAGCCTGCCCCGGGAGGGAGAGAAGCACTAGAGTGGTGGGAATTAGAAACACCTCCCCACCTCCCGAGGAACGTTAGTCTGGAGGTGGACAGACAAAGTCGCCTGATACCCAGTTTCCAGCTCAAGGTTTTCTCTCTCGGCTCTTTGGCTCCTGTCCGGGAAGGCCCAGGAGCACAGTGATTTCCAAACATCTTTTTGTGAGCAACTCTCACCCTCTCCATCTTGCAAAATAAAGACAAGCATGCTAGGCCCGGCCGGTGTGGCTCCGTGGTTGAGCGTCGACCCACGCACCAAGAGGTCACAGGTTCGATTCCGGGTCAGGGCTCAGGTTGTGGGCCCGATCCCCAGTGGGGGGCCTGCAGGAGGCATCCAGTCGATGCTCTCTCTCATTGATATTTCTATCTCTCTCTCCCTCTCTAAAATCAATAAAAAGAAAAAAGAAGAGCATTTTAGGAAAATAACTCAGGTGCCCTAACTCCCAAAGGAGAAAGTGCTATTTTTATTTTATTTATTTGCTTATTTTATTCTCACCCGAGGACATTTTTTGCATTCATCTTCAGATAGAGCAGGAGGGAGAGAGGGAGGAAGACAGAGAGAGAAATATTGATGTGAGAGAGACATATCGACTGGTTGCCACCCACACAACCCCAACTGGGGCCAGGGGGACAAACTGCAACCGAGGCACGTGCCCATAGCGGGACCCGAACCCGGGCCTCTCTGGTCCGCCGGCCGACGCTCTAACCGCTGAGCCAAACCGGCCAGGGAGAAAGTGCTGTTTTTAAATGGAATATCACCTTTCTCACCATCTTTCCTGAGGTTTTTACACTTCATGTCTGCAGAAATGGCCTGGGAATTAATTTGGAGTTCAAACAAACCTGTGGCTTTGCCAAGGCTTGGGATCCTTCCACGCTGCAGAGGAAAAGTATCATAACCCACATCTGAGCTCCTTCTGCTTTCTGTGCAAGGAGTTGGCCTCAAAGCAGGTCAACGAAATGTTACCTCGCCTTTGACGGCCACGTTACAGTGCTTCCCGGATCTGTCTGATGTTAAGAACCCCCTTGGTGCCACCCCAGACCTACAGAACAGACTGCACAGAAGGGGAGTCGGTGTCTTTAACAAGCGCGTTGGGTGCTCTGTTATCAGTCGAGCTTGGGCAATGCTCCCCGAAGGACATATTGCTGTCAGCTCCATTTTTCAGTGAAGGGCACTGAGGCTCGGAGTGTTAACTGGCTCCCAGTTACATGCGTGACACAGAGCAGAGCCAAGAACCACCAGTGTGCTTGTGTTTCTGCTTCTGCACGACACCTCTGCAGACCCCAGCATGGCTCCTGCCTCCTGCAGAGCCTCTGGTCCAGCTGCGGGAAATGCTTGTGCAGGTGGACTTCCCTGTCCCAGCCGTGGTCCTCTGCCTGCTGTCCCACCCTGTCCTCTCTTCCCCGCCCTGTCTGTGATGGCTCCCACTTGCTGGCTGCTTCTCAGGGTTCCTGTCTCTCCCAGAAATGAGGAATCTATTGTTTTCTCATTCAGATTGAAAACTAAATTCTGCCCTCGTATATCATATTCAAGTAGTGCTCACGAAACAGCCCTTTGCCTCAATTTACTTACCAGAGGCAGGATTAAGAGATGGGGATTAAGAGAATTTTGTTGGTGGTTAATTGAATAGTGATTCCCTTTGGAGAACTAATTAATGTTTTGGCACTAACTATTTGTGTGTGTGTTTATTTTTTTTTAGTTTATATTTTATATACAACTAATATCGTTGATGACCATGGGGGTAAATTCATACATGATGACTCAGTTTGCCAGGAAATTAGGTAATGTATATCTATCTTCCATTAATTAATTGGGGAGAATAATGTAGATAGACTATTGTTGGGGGTTATAGGGAATTTTTTTCTGGAGCTCAAGGAATTGGTTGTGAAATCACTCATTTTCTTTCACTCGTTATTCTTAGATTCTCTATTCATTGAGATATTGGTTCAGACAGTTTAACAGATACCACATTAACAGTGGCTTAAACAAGACAAAGGTTTTATTTTTCTTTCCCCCTTCACTGAAAGGTCCAAAAGAATGGGCTGGTTCTGCCCATGAGGCCGTCCGAAGGCCCAGGATTTCCCCCTTTGGTGTCTTCTCCCCTCCCTGGGGGCTGCTCTGGTCTGCAGGGCGGAAGCTGGTTCACTATCTCTGCATCTTCAATGCCACCAACGGGAAAGGGAAAATGGGGGTGGGGTAGGGTGGCAATGGAGGGGAAGCAGCTTCCTTTCAAGGGCACAATCCAGAAGTTATATGTATCATTACCACTCACATTCCGTTGGCCAGAACTTAGTCACATGGGCGAGGTAACCAGGACATATTATCTTTACCCGGCGGGCCATGTGCCGTGGTCAGCCAAAACTTGGAGATTCTGTTGGTAAAGGATAAAGGGAATTGTGTTGGGTATTCCAACACAATCAGCAGGCTCGGCCACAGTTGTCTATTTCTAGAAAAAATTTTGAGGCTGTTGATAATCAAATGCATAAATGTGAGAGAAGCCAAGTTACGATAATTGGGGGTAGTGGGGTGGAGGCCGGAGGGAGAGAGTAAGGTGGGGTTACACACGGTCTTAGGACCTCAGCATCATGCAATAGCCCATGGGCCTGCCCTTGGCTCCCTGTGCGGAGCATTGATCCTGTGAGGGTCTCTAGAATTAATCAGACTGCTGCTGATTTCTACACACTGCACTCCCAGGAGAACATGCATAAAGCAGATCATCCGCTTATTAGTTGTTAATGAGGATGATTTCTTTCCTTGTCTGCAATAACTGTGATCATTATTCAGGGTATTCATCTCTAAATAACCAGCTCCCTTGAGAAACCAAGTTAGTCATCAGAAGGTTTCTTGGAAAGCATGGACGTGGTGAGAGGTCAGTGGAAGAATAATGTTGAAGGAGAGATGTTCTAAACGGGGAAACAGGCTGGTGAATTTACCCTGTTCTGCCCTCAAGAGACAGCACCCCTCTGCTTGTGTCTTCCAGCAGCTCTGCCCATTCCTGAAGCCACGCCCCATCACCACCCTCTCAGAACCGCCTGTGACAGCCCACCTCACAGCCAAGGGCGCCACCTGGTGGAGAGGGCTGGGAAATGGGCCAGAGTCCTCCGGTTGTGGGTTCCTTCTTGTTTGCAGTGGCCAGGTGTGCTGGGCTCAGCAAAGGCCTGCACCAGAGCACGAGTGAGATTAATGGGACCCGAAGGCTCTCTCATCACCCCCCCAATCTCTTTGACCCCAGGAACCCAGACCTGCACTGCTCTCTCTGCTGAGGATATAACATCTGAATTTCTGCAGGCCCCCTTTCTTTGTGATTCCTCTCCCTATGATACGCAAAGGCAAGACCAGCAAGGGGTTTTACTGTCATGGTAATGTTTTTCTCTTCTGTTATAAACATTTTCATGAACGAAACCTCAGAATTTTTATTACGAAACAAAAATATATGGCCAGCACTTTATCCTCTCAGAGTCGATGCTCACCCTTTGTAGAAATACTACGTGTCACATTCTAGCGGGCACTCGATAGAACTGAGATTTTTTTTAGTGAGAGTTTCAAGCCAACTTCTTGCACCTGGTCTAGTGCTTTTAGGAGATCCTTCCTCATCCTCTTCCAGGAGCTGCTTCATCGCGGAGTGCAGGGAACTCACTGCTGCCACCCAGTGGTCCACGCATGTGCATGTTGCCCCGCAGCAACTTTTCCAGCCGGGGGCTGTCGTGCCAACCTGTGGGTAGGGTAATTGGGCACATGAATAAACTCTCCCTGTGTGGTCTCAGACAGCGGCATTTTAAATCCAAAGCTGATTCCTTCTACCTATAGTCAAATGCATCTTTGTTCGGGACCACAGAGAACCAGGAGGGATGTGCCTCCAGACCCCTCTGAACCCCCAGAATTTCAAACGTGACTGCTGCACCCGGGGCCCATAGAGAAGGTAACACAGTCAAAGGGATAGACCGAAAAACCATTTTAACCCTTTTTGAGCCATTTCACATGCAATTAGGAAGAAAGACTAGTTCCATTGAGATGGACCTTCAGCGGGTAGGCGACGCTCACTAATTACATTCGTGTTTTGGGGATGTTAGCCTCATAGCTATGACCTCAGATTCACACCTCCAGGGGAGACAAGCTGCTACGAGTTCAGACGTGCAGACCTGCTGGCCAGGAAAAAGATGTGCAATTTGAGAGCTCGCTATTGCGGTGGCCTTTACATTGGATCACGTATAATAATCAGTTGGAGAGGTTGTTAACATGCAAATTCCCAGGCCCTGGACCAGGTGTGGAACAGAGCCCAGGAACTCGCATGGCTGATTAAGCCGGCCTTCTCCCTGTGGAAGGCACACGGAGTTCTCCCCACTTTGGGCAGTACCCACTGGGTGCCTTGAAGTCGGAGTCAGGTCTCTAGCGATAGAGAACAAAAGGACCCGAAAACGACATTCTTGAACAGTGGAGCCAGGTTAAGTCAAGCTATACAGCCCAAATAAACGGAGTTGGGTACGTTTCCAGAAAGTTCTGGACAAAACCTTGCCTTTGCCCTAAGCTAAGCGGGTGAAGCCAAGCGCATGCCTCCCACTACTGTCTCGGGGCACCCCACCACGGCTCTCCTTTTCTCTGTTCCAGGTCTGTGTGCTATTTCTCTCCCAAGGCAGATGGCCATGCAAAACGCCATCAACCACATCCAGGAGATAATACACAACACGATCACGTTATTTAAGACGGAGAAAATTTTGACAAATGTTAATTGGACCCTGGTAGAAGAAAAAACTCGGATTCAGTACGAAATTTCTGTGAGTTGATGCCCTCCCTGGGTCTGCTCCTCTTGCTTTAGTTAATTATAAAAAACTTGACTCTGCCCATTAAATGTCAGAAAATCTTTGCCGGAGGGGGGTGTACTGACTAGCGCTGCTATCTTTGTGAAAGGACTTCTTTGAGTTCTGCCTCTGAAGAGAAGGTCTTGGTGATCTGATCTACGTGCCAAGTACAGGAGAATTGGTGTTCTCACCAACTGGTTGGTTGAATAACTATGAACGGGCTCCCCAAGCTGGTGCTTCCGACTGGTCCAGGCGCCGGGAGACCTCTCTCCAGAAGAGTGTTATAAAGAGCAGCAGCAGCAGGCTGCTCAGTCTTCGTGCACAGGCAGTTCTGGGGAAGAACCTCACTTCGAAACCTCCGCCAATAAATACTTTACCACAACCGAGAGCAGCATTTTCTGTATGGAGAAAGTTAACCAACTTATACATGGCCCTTCATTGTGGCAGTTCTGATTTGAGTATTGAAATGTCTGTTGAGTGCCTCGCCATCTTTACTCACCTTTAACTTGATTTCTCTATGCTTTTAAAATGCAGTGTAATGCTCCCCAGTTTCACGTTGCACCCAGTGAAAAAGATCAGGAGTCCCTGACTGACGAAGTTTTAATAGAAGAAGCCAGATTGCATGTAGCTATCATACAAATGGTAGGTACCACGCACATAATCTGCTTTTAAGTTTGTTTTTATTTTTGCAATGCTTTTAATTTTTACATGTGGTTTGCAGGTGGCTAGAAAAACATTTTCCCCCACTTTTTGATAGTCTGTTGGTAAATTTATATTTGATTAATGCAAGTTAAAAAAGAAGAATTAAAAAAATCTCTTAGGCTTTAAAGTCCAAGTAACACATCTTATTGTTCTGTTTCTAAGTCTAGCGGACTTTAGTAGTTCACTTTTTTAACATGCTAAAAAAGTATTTAACATATTTGCTTTTATAAATTTAACATATACAAAATTCTCTCAAGTAATCATTTAACTCTTATAAATCTAATAAGTTAAATCTAATGAATTAAAAATTGTCTTCAAATAGTTTAGATTTATATTTAAATGTCCTATAAGCACAGGAAGATTACTAGGTAAAATCAAATTAAACGAACTTATGAAATTGTACATTTTACATTGAGGTTATATTCTAATAAGACAAATTTTATTCAATATTACAAGTATATAAAGTATTCATTATTCCTAGAGTCCTTTTTTACTTTCACTTTAAAACTTATTATGAAAAATTTCTGACATATACAGAAGTAGGTGTGATAGTGTAATGAGTCCCATGGACCCATCTCTAAAACCACCCACGGAGGGCCAGCTCTGCCCACTCGCACCCTCACTCACTTCCCCACCTCCCACAGTATTTCGATATCATACAATTTTATCTGTAAATATTTTAGCGTGTATCTCTAAATTTTAGAATCTTTTAAAAAGTATAGTGAAAAAACAAATATTTTACACCTAAAATTAATAATAATTCCTTAATATCAAATATCGAGCCAATGATCAAATTTCCAATTGTCTCATAAACGGGATCAATGTATATTTTCTCTCTGTGTGTGTGTGTGTGTGTGTGTGTGTGTATATTTTTTTAATCTTCACCTGCGGATATTTTTCTATTTATCTCCAGATAGAGTGAGAGGGAGGGAAAGGGGAAGAGAGAGGGAGACAGAGAGAAACATCGATGTGACAGAGCCACATTGACTGGTTGCCTCCTGAACGTCCCCGACCAAGATGGGGAACGAACCTCAACTGAGGTACGTGCCCTTAATGGGAATCGAACCTGAGACTCATTGGTCTGCGGACCGATGCGCTAACCACCGAGCCAAACTGGCCAGGGCTCAGTTTATATTTTTAAGTTGGACTCTGGTCAAGTTCACACATTGCAGTAATGGATAAGGCCTTCTCACGGGTTGAAGGGCTCTCATCCTGAGCAGTAAAGTACAGTCACATCGTCCCGCCATGGAATTTGGGCCGTTCTTATCATTTGTCCTGAACGATAAAATGCGGGGACAGTGACTTGGGGAATGTTCTGGAGCGTGAGCCTTGGGAAGATCTGCAGCTCACACAGTGAGTACGTTGTTATGAACAATGAGTAGAAGCAATGGGTACATTTATAAAGCAAGAGCGTGTGCTCAGCATGTGAAGAAGTTTATTGAGGAAGGAAGAAGTCTCAGGAGGTAACTTTAACCTCCAACTTTAATATCCATGGCAACTAAAAGGTGTTACTTTTCTTTTTTTTTTTTTTTTTTTTTTAATCCTCACCCGAGGACATTTTTCCATTTTTTGTACAGATAGAGTGGGAGGGAGAGAGAGGAAGAGAGAGAGAGGGAAACATCGATGTGAAAGGGACACATCGAGTGGCTGCCACCCGCATAACCAACCAGGGCCGGGGACAAACTGCAACCGAGGTACGTGCCCTTAGCGGGAACCGAACCCGGGTCTCTCCAGACCGCAGGCGGACGCTCCAACCGCTGAGCCAAACCGGCCAGGGCAAGGTGTTACTTTTCTTCTGACATGGTGAGGGGTGACGTAAGAATAGTCTAGTTATATCTATAAGATATTTTAGGTAAGCCTCATGATAATCACAAAGAAAAAAAAATGTAGACTAGATACACAAAAGATAAAGAGAAAGGAATGAAAGGAAAAAACTGCAGAAATAAATAACAAAGAAGAGACAGCAAGAGCAAACAAAAGGAACAAAGGAACTAAAAAAAGTGAACAAAATGGCAATACTTTTTATAATTATCTATCAATCATTACCTTAAATGTAAATGGACTAAATCCTCCAATCAAAAGACAGAGTGGCTGATGAACCACAACTGTAAAAAGATCCAACCACGTGCTGCTTACAAGGGACTCAGGCTTTAAGGACACACAGAGGCTGAAATGCAGGACTGGAAAAAGAAAATTCAGGTCATGGTAACCACCAGGGGGCAGGAGTGGCTGTGCTTATGTCAGATGAAATAGATGTTAAGTCAACACAAGAGACAGAAGATCACTATAATGGGAAGATGTTGGTCAATGTGAAAACTTTCCCTTATAAAATGAGTAAGTTCTGGGGAGTCTAATATACAGCGTGGTGACTACAGTTAACAATACTGTATTCTATACTCGAAAGTTGCTAAGAGAGTAGATATTAGATATTCTCACCGCACACAAAAAGTTGTAATTACGTGAAGTGATAAGTGTGTTCTAACCTTATTGTGGTAATTATTTTGTAATATATATGTGTATCAAGTCACCATGCTGTACACCTAAAACTTACACTATGTTATATGTCTATTATATCTCAATAAGCCTGGAAAATTATTTTATTTTTATTTATTAAAAATTGTTTTTTCTTTTTTTTTTTGAGAATGAGGAAGTGAGAGGGAGAGAGAGACAGAAACATCGGTGAGAAAGAACATCGATTGGCCGCCTCCTGCATGCCCCACACTGGGGATCAGGCCCACAACCTGGGCATGTGCCCTGACAGAGAATCGAACTGGTGACCTCTTGGTGCAAGGGTCATTGCTCAACCACTGAGGCACACCAGATTGGCTGGGAAAAATTTTTTTAAAAAGGACAGTTACTTTTATCTCTTGGTAGTTCTTTGTGAAGCTGAGATGATTAGTTGCCCTTTGAATTAATAATTTGTATCATCTCTTCTGCTGTAGAAAGATGCTACTATTAATGCTATTTATGTTACTAAGGGCATTGACCCACCCACCCAGAAGTTGCTGGTTTGATTCCTGGTCAGGGCACATACCCAGGTTATGGGCCAGATCGCCAGTGGGGGGCAGGCAGGAGATGGCCACTGGATGTTCTCTCTCATTGATGTTTCTATCTCTCTTTCCCTCTCCCTTCCTCTCTCTCTAAAATCAATAAAGGAAAAATATTTACAACAAAAAAACCCTTTGAGCAGTACAGATTTTTGAGTTTCCTGAAGCTAGGAATTTGTGTATCTTTTAAAACATCTGGGACAGTACTTTGCAAAAAATGAATATTCAGTATTTAAATGGGATAAAGTTTATTTCCTGCGGCAGTATTTTTCTGGTAAAGAATATTTCATGTAGTGAGTTCAATAATAATAGTGCTGGCTACATAAAGGTCAAGCAGAGGTCACTGCATTTGTGTTGTGGTCCTTTGTCATTTGTATTTAAAATTGTGTGTTTAGAGTAGCTTTGAAAAACAGTGCCAAGATGGAATCCTCGACACACAGGCAGCCCGGATATTAATTGGTGCAACCAAAAGCTACTGCCCTGTCCAAGGAAAGTAAGTGTAGTACTTATTTAGTTGATATTTCCAAAATTGAATGGATATATGATAAGGAATGAATGAACTGAGAGTTAAATGTCAAGATTGATCAATCTATTTATCTCATCTATCTTCATCTACCTGTCCGTCCGTCCGTCCGTCCATCCGTCCGTCCTTCCATCCATCCATCCATCCATCCACCCACCCACCCACCCACCCATCCATCCACCCACCCATCCATCCCACCCATCCATCCATCATCCATCCATCCATCCATCCATCCATCCATCCACCCACCCACCCACCCACCCATCCACCCACCCACCCACCCATCCACCCACCCATCCATCCACCCACCCATCCATCCCACCCATCCATCCATCATCCATCCATCCATCCATCCATCCATCCATCCATCCATCCATCCACCCACCCATCCAACCAACCAACCACCCATCCACCCATCCACCCATCCATCCATCCATCCATCCACCCACCCACCCATCCAACCAACCACCCATCCACCCATCCACCATCCATTCATCCATCCACCCAACCCATCCATCCATCCATCCATCCACCCACCCACCCATCCATCCATCATCCACCCATCCATCCATCCATCCATCCACCCACCCACCCATCCATCCATCATCCATCCATCCACCCACCCACCCACCCATCCAACCAACCACCCATCCACCCATCCACCATCCATTCATCCATCCACCCAACCCATCCATCCATCCACCCATCCACCCACCCACCCATCCATCCACCCAACCCATCCATCCATCCATCCATCCATCCACCCGTCCACCATCCATTCATCCACCCAACCCATCCATCCATCCATCCATCCATCCACCCACCCACCCACCCACTCATCCAACCAACCACCCATCCACCCATCCACCATCCATTCATCCACCCAACCCATCCATCCATCCATCCATCCACCCACCCATCCATCCATCATCCATCCATCCATCCATCCATCCACCCACCCATCCATCCATCATCCATCCACCCATCCATTCATCCATCCATCCATCCATCCACCCACCCACCCATCCATCCAACCAACCACCCATCCACCCATCCACCCATCCATTCATCCATCCATCCACCCACCCACCCACCCACCCATCCATCATCCATCCATCCATCCATCCATCCATCCATCCATCCATCCATCCACCCACCCACCCATCCAACCAACCACCCATCCACCCATCCACCCATCCATCCATCCATCTATCCATCCATCCATCCATCCATCCACCCACCCACCCATCCAACCAACCACCCATCCACCCATCCACCCATCCACCCATCCACCCACCCATCCATCCATCCACCCACCCACCCATCCACCCATCCACCCATCCACCCACCCATCCACCCACTTTCTGTTTTACTTGTTTACATCCCCCCCCTGAATGTTGGTGAAAATAGGGGATTCGGGAGGAAGATCTGACTACAATGTGATTAGATTAGAGACGAGGAGAGTCATGAAAGAGACCCAGATAGTTTTAATTACTATTATAAGTATTTTGTTTTTATATCATATTCACTAAATTACTGGATAGGAGAGGGAGGGAGCCTGGAGCCTGCCATTACACTGCTCCTGGAGGTGGAGCCGGCTCTGAGGACTTGACCCAGCTGATGATGCTGATGGATGCAATTACACCTGGTGCGAAAGGCTCGGGCACTCAGAGGTATATCGAGTCCTGGCAAACATTAGTAATGGATGGTCCAAGACGAACCTGCAGGGCAACAATGAGAGGGGACCCCATCTGGGGGGCAGGTGATGGTTCAGCAGCCTGGTAACCTATTTGGGAGATCTAGCCTCAGCTCCTAGATAAAGGTCAGGAAGGCTAGAGACTTCAGGTCCTTGGAGAAGCTTGGGCTGGTGGGGCATGACAAAGGGAAGCTTGATTCTGAACCCCAAAGAATTGGTCTGGAGGAGCTTGAATTATGTTGTAGCTCAGGTCAGGCGTGGTTCCAGGAACAGAGAGAGCAGGACTCGGACGCTAAAAGTGTTCCCGTGCCATCAGCATGTGTGACAGGTGGATGGATGCAGAGGCTCAATTCTGAGCATTTAGTATACCTTTTCCTTTCCTATTACCCCAAAGAATAACACTTGCTCTGTATTATAACACATGTGTATTCTTTTTCTCTGTCAGATTCATGAGCATTCATGATGTTTCCACTTATGTAAAAGCTAGAAGTTGGCTTATAAAGTTTAAAAACATTTTAAGTTTCTTGGAATATCGTAAAGATAAGACACTTTTTATTCCATATGGGTAAGTACTGTGAACCTTCACAGTGATATACTTGGAAACATGACCCCTTTCTACCTTGTCAGAATGCATGACCTTGGTTTTTCTTATTAAAAAACAAAACCCCAGATAATGCGTTTCCTTATTTAACATTGAACTAATACTGAGGGCGACTGTCACCGGTCGAGGGACGCCCCAGCGCGGTGTTGCTTGTCTTTTCGCCAGTCTGTTTCAGTAGCGCCCCCCGCTTCTCCAGGAGAGGGTGGGCAGGAGGAAGCAGAGGGTGCTGGTGTTGGATTCTTCCGGTTTGCTTTGCCGTGTCTCAGGGTCACACTTCACACTGAGTGGCTCGTGCACTCTGCTGTACCCTCCCGGGTAACATAACATCGCACTGCGGTGAGAAAGATCAGACTCGATTCCAGCTCTCAGCTTAGATTCACTGGTGCTACAGGCTGGTTCTGCTGATGTCTGTCATCAGGAAAACCACAACATGGCGTGAATCAGCCCAATGACCCACTTTCCAAAACATCACAAGATACAGATTCTACTTAACTTGGGTAGATTCTTTGCTTTGTTATATAAGTTGTGAACAGGTGTAATTTTTAGAGCAGGAAGACAAAGTTTTTCTAGTAATAGAATATGTCAAAATGAGGAGCTACCAGGAGCATCGACAATACTAGGTTTCAAGTGGATGTTAGCATACCTTCCGTAACAAGTTTTGATCATTTTTTACTCTCTTCATTTATTAAGTTTAAAGAGAAATATAAAAAAAGTAAAACCACAGGGTCTTGCCACATACACAGTGAACCTCCTTTGGTTAGGTTCTACTTTAGATGGATTGAAAAGATTTAAAATACATAATGGTAATTACTGAATAGAATATCTTTTCCTGTTCTTAACTTTAAACAGTGATAATGTTTTTCTCAAAATTTGTTTTTTTCTTTCAGTGTATAAATCTTTGCATTGTTTCCTATGTCCTATAACCTTGATTTAAAAAAATACTTCCTATCCCTGATACAGATTAATAACAGCCAACTTTTTATTTCTCCATTATGATTTTTTATGTATAGAGGGTGTTTTTTAGATTTTTGCTTATCTATTGTTTTAAATTATATACACTTTCTTCAAATTATTATTAATAATTTGTTTAGCCCTGGCCGGTTTGGCTCAGCGGTTAGAGCGTCCACCTGCGGTCCAGAGAGACCCGGGTTCGGTTCCCGCTAAGGGCATGTACCTCAGTTGCAGTTTGTCCCCGGCCCTGGTTGGTCGTGCGGGTGGCACCCACTCGATGTGTCCCTTTCACATCGATGTTTCCCTCTCTCTCTCTTCCTCTCTCTCCCTCCCACTCTGTACAAAAAATGGAAAAATGTCCTTGGATGAAGATTAAAAAAAATAAATAAATAATTTGTTTAAACAAATGTTGAACTTTACATCTGGTTATACCTTTAAAATGATCTGACCTTTTATTTGCCCTCTCTCTTTTTTTCAGGAATAATACATTTCTGATATTTATATATCACATTGTATTTTCAGAAGAATTTGAATATGCAGGACATGTTATATCATTTATATACATTTATCCTATGATAATTCATCTATGGCCACTACCAAGAAAGTTAAATGTGTCAAGTCTGATATTCATAAACTACTATTTTATATTTTTATATGTGTTAGAGTTAGCATTGAAGGTACTGTTTTAAATAGAAATGTATCCAATAAAAAGAACTCTTCAGATATTGTGAATTTATTTTTGTCATATGTTTGAAATAACTTGATGTTAGAAGCCACTTGCTGTAACCGTTGATAGAATGCTAGCATTTTAGTAATGTTTTTGAATTTTCTGGGTTTAATCATGAAATCAGTATAATAGTCACAGTCTTGGATATCAGATATGAAAGTGGAGAGGCTCAAAGATCAAATAAAGAGAGCTGAAAATTCAGATAGGATGTTTCCCCCAACTTTTCTCTGTAACGATGCAAAACACAAATCAGCAAATGCAAACAAACTGGTTAGGTTCTCATCATAACATGAGAACTACTTTTTACTTTAGAAGATAGGATGGATCAGAATCACTATTTTCATACTTTAATTATTATTAACAGTATTGCAATAAACCTGTTTACCGCTATTTTTCATGGTTTGTTTTTGGCATTTCAGATTCATTAGAGATTATATATTTTGGGTTAAATTATGATTTTGGATGCTGGAAATTAAAAGCAATTTTTTGGAATTCCAAATGAATAACTTAAAACCTAACTTTTGGAATATAACTCATTTGTATTTGAGGATATAAGTGTTAATTTTTAAGGCCCCCCCCCCCCCATCATTGTTAGGTACTATGAAATGACATATATTCTATTTGTTTTCTAAACAGATAATACTTTTGAAAAGGAAATATTTTCATCAACATTGGAACACTGTGGAGTTTTTTATCCTGTGCATTGGGATTGTTGATATCTTTTGCATATACTTTGTCCAGATGAGACCGGACAACTTGGTTCTTATTCAGATGACAGTAATAATAGGGTATCTAAGAGTAATTCGATTTATTCCTCTCTTCAAGGTAAGATTCACATTTTTAAATATTGGCTCTTTTTTTTTTTTCCCTACACTGTTTGTTAAATGTGTTAAGAGATCTCACTGTTTTGAAATAAATGAGGGAAGGAGCTGTCTCTTCCCCAGAATACTCTCTACAGGAATCTGCTTGGTGCGCCTCCTACAGGTCATTGCTCAAGTCCCCCCTTGTCACAGGGAAGGCCTCCCTGACCACCTGTGCAGAACAGCAGCTTGCCCCCCACGCGCAGCCTCACCCCATCTTCCTGATCCCTCTCCACCTGCTAAGTTCGTTCCCCCACAACGTTGTTACCTCTTCCGGTGTGCTCAGTGCCCCACCTCTGGAATTCGACTTTACTGTGGCCCCAAACTCCCTCACGACGATGATTCCTTCTTTCCAGGGCTCTGGTTTGGATTCTGAAGGTAGATTTTCAGTTTCCACTCTTTTTTTTAGAAACATTTATTTATTTAATCCTCACCCGAGGACACTTTTGCATTTATCTTCAGATAGAGCGGGAGGGAGAGAGAAAGAGAAACATCGATGTGAGAAAGGCACATCAACTGGTTGCCACCCACACGACCCCAACCGGGGCCAGGGACAAACTGCAGCCGAGGTACGTGCCCTTAGCGGGAACCGAACCCGGGTCTCTCTGGACCGCTGAACGAAACTGGCCAGGGCCTAAATATTTTTTTAAAGTTGCTCTAAACCTGAATGGCAAAAGGTTATACATCAGAGTCCTCCATCGAGTCCCAGCTCTCCAAGAAAATTTATACCTATCGCAAAGGCTTATTGCTTGTAGACATTCGTTTTTGTTCTTTCCTGGATTCTGTATTAGTGTTACCAAACTTCAGTGTTCGTCAGTAATTTAGAACTACTATACAGAGTGGAATACACAAAATCTGTGGAAGGGGGAAATTCTGATTGTTTCTTATGTTTGCCTTATGAGCTGAGAGCTCACATAAGGTATAACCTGCCAGAATACAGACGATGTGCAGCTGGGAAATGTTACCCGGTCTTAAAATGAGGGTGGAAGTTTCCTTAGGTAATCAGTTTCTGGAAAGATATGCAGATGAATAGAAAATAATTATTTTAGAAGTAGGACTTTGAGAAAAGTCTCTCTGAGTGATATAAAGATTTATTTATTTATTATCTAAAACAATTTTTTTAAATTGATTTTAGAGAGAGAGGAAGGAAGAGGGAGAGACAGAAACATCTATGAGAGATACATCAACGAGCCGTCTCCTGCATGCCCCCCACTGGGGACTTGGCCCACAACCTGGGCATGTGCCCTGACCGGGAATCAAACTGGCAACCTCTTGGTGCAGGGGTCGACATTCAACAACTGAGTCTCACTGGCCGGGCTGTGACATAAAGATTTAAAGACATATTATTGTGCAAGTTTCCATTTCTGTCCAGTACTCTCTGACAAATCTCAGTGAAATATATTTAAAGAATTCATGTAATGAATATAATCGTGATTAGCTTATTTTATTGAGCACTTACTATGTTCCAGGAACATAGTTTATTATCTAATTAAATGATTACAATACCCCTATGAAGTAGGTGTCATCATTATTATCAAGTTGGTTTGGTGCTTTCCAAAGAAATACAAGTGTACTGGAGAGCTTGGAAAAATACTGGAGGTTTTAAAAATACGTTTTTAGCCCTGGCTGGTTTGGCTCAGTGGTTAGAGCATCAACACTGTTTAAAATCTTTCTCTCTGGCCCTGACCGGTTTGACTCAGTGGTTAGAGCATCAGCCTGCGGTCCCAAGAGACCCAGGTTCGGTTCCCGCCAAGGGCACGTACCTCAGTTGTAGTTTGTCCCCGGCCCTGGTTGGGTCGTGTGGGTGGCAGCCACTTGATGTGTCCCTTTCACGTCGATGTTTCTCTCTCTCTCTCTCTCTCTCTCTCTCTCTCTCTCTCTCTCTCTCCCACTCTATCTGAACAAAATATGGAAGAATGTCTTCGGGTGAGGATAAAAAAAAAAGATCTTTCTCTCTGTCCAAAGTTTCACAACCAAGAGTCGTGGGTTCGATTCTGGTCAAGGGCATAGACCTCGGTTGAGGTTCATCCCTGGCCCTGGTCAGGGTTGTGTGAGAGGCAACCAGTGGATGTGTCTCTCTCATATCAATGTTTCTCTTTACCCCCCCTCTCCTCCCCTCCCCTACTCTATCTGAAGATAAATAGAAAAATATCCTTGGGTGAGGATTTAAAATTTGTTTAAAAATATGTTTTAATTGATAGTTTGAGAGAGAGAGACAGAAACATTGATGTGAGAGAGAAACATCATTCGGCTACCTCCTGCACACCCCCTGCTGGGGATCAAGCCTGCAACCCTGGCGTGTGCCCTGACTGGGAATCAAACTGGGACCTCTCAGTCCATGGGTGACGCTCAATCCACTGAGCCACACTGACCGGGCTGGAGATTTTAAAATTTAGATCCTCTTAGGAACAGCTTAGGGGGATATCAGTGCATCATGGAATAAAACTTGTAAAAACCCTGTTTAAGATCTCTCTCTCTGTCCAAAGTTTCACAACCAAACTAGCAGCTAGAAACATCTTTCCTTTCTCTGCTCTTGTAATTCCTTGGCTGTGATGTCTTTTCCTCCCGTCCACATTTTCCTCCTCTGTTCCCTGGCGAGTCCCCAGCTGCCCTGCACTCTGCCCTGAGGTTGATTGCGCTGCTTGTGGGGAGCAGTCCATTGGAGTTGTGGCACTCAGCTGCTATTGTCATCATTTCACAGACAAGGGCACTGGGTCCTCAGAGTCACTAGTGACTGGCTCAAGGTCACACAGAGAGTGAGTAGGAGAGCTGGTATTTGAATCCAGGAAGGTTAGTGTTTCAAATCCCACTCAGAGACAATTTATTCGGTTGATAACTGTAACCCAGGTTACGGGACCACCTCTCTTGTCTGCTGAAATCAGGGTGGGGAACAGAGACTGGGGACAAAGTTCCCAGCTGCGGAGCTGGTTATTCACTGAGCTCTCTCTTTTTTTTTTTATCCTCACCCGAGGATATTTTTCCATTTTTTTGTACAGATAGAGTGGGAGGGAGAGAGAGGAAGGGAGAGAGAGAGAGAAACATCGATGTGAAGGGACACATCGAGTGGCTGCCACCCGCACGACCAACCAGGGCCGGGGACAAACTGCAACCGAGGTACGTGCCCTTAGCGGGAACCGAACCCGGGTCTCTCTGGACCGCAGGCCGACGCTCTAACCGCTGAGCCAAACTGGCCAGGGCCTGAGCTCTCGTTTCTTTAGAGTGGCTCTCAAACCTGAGACCTGAGGACTCGTTAAAACACCCACTCCTGGGCCCCGTCCCCGGAGTCCCTGGTCCAGCAGGTCTGCGTTTCTGATGGGCCTCTGGGCGTTGCGGGGTTGGCCGGAGACAACACCGTGAGAACTCTGCCCCGAGGGTGCTTTGCTCAACCCGCTGCCAAGTGTTCCCTCTCCCTCGTCGCAGATCGTGATACCGCTGCTGATCAACGTCGCCGAGGTGCAGATCAAGAAGCGCCTCAGCTTGATGTACAGCATCACCAAAGGCTACGTCAAAAGTCAAGAGGATGCCAAATTCTTAGTGAAACAAATTTCTGGCCGAGAGTCAATATATCAGGTAAGAGACGAGCACCAGTCCTTTGGAATAAAAAAATAAAGAAAGAAAATAACCAAAAAAATCCCAGCCCCTTAGGAGTTTTCATTTAAGACTGTTTCTAGGCGGTTCATTTAAGACTGTTTTGGGCCCTGGCCGGTTTGGCTCAGCGGTTAGAGCGTCGGCCTGCGGTCCCGAGAGACCCGGGTTCGATTCCCGCTAAGGGCACGTACCTCGATTGCAGTTTGTCCCCGGCCCTGGTTGGTCGTGCGGGTGGCAGCCACTCGATGTGTCCCTTTCACATCGATGTTTCTCTCTCTCTTCCTCTCTCCCCCTCCCACTCTACCTGAACAAAAAATAGAAAAATGTCCTCAGGTGAGGATAAAAAAATAAAATAAAAAGACTGTTTTGGCCCCGCAGAGAAATGAGAACCAGTGAGAGGGGTTCGGTTGTCGGTTGATAAGCGGTGCTGCCAAGAACAGTCTCTGCTCTTTCCATTTCAGCTCTTGATCTGACTCATCTGGTCTTCTAGAAGGAGACCTACTGTTTGTTTGATTTTCTGAGTGCGGAGTAGAGAAGACACTCCGTCTGTCTGGGTAACACTGTCTAAGGGTGGGGCCCCTGGAAAATGCAGCAAACAGGAGCTGAGATGCCAACAAGGCCTCCAAGAGAGGGTGGGTGTGAGGTGGGGAGGAAGAGGGAGAGAACGGGGTGCACTGGAAGCTTGAAGTGCTGGCTCTGAGGAGGGATGAGCCGCGGTGGCTATTGATCTGGTTCAAGACCCTCCTCATTTCCAGGCAGAATGAGCTTACGTACCAAATGGGCGGTGAAGACATAAGCACACTGGGACTTGGCGCTGGAGGGAGTCGCTTGCTAACCAGGTTCTCCACACCAGCCCGTCCACTCCAGGTCCCTCTGCAGTGGGGCAGGGCACTCTTCCTAAAGGGTTAAGTTCCACAGATGATTTTCTGCTTAAGAGTATTCAGTGGCTCTGCACGGCCTTGAGGGTAAGATCTTTGACTCCAAATATCTGTATATTGGAGTCAAATACACACACACACATTATAGCATTAATGCATGTTTATCCTATGATGATTCATCTACAGCCAATGGCGAGGGAGCTAATTAAATGTATCCACACAGATATTAGTAAACAACAATTTTATATTTTTATATGTATTAGAGTCAGCATTGAAGGTACTTTTATTTTTTTATTTTATTGCATTTTTTTCTTTATTGATTTTAGAGAGAGAGAAAGGGAGAGGGAAAGAGAGAGATAGAAACATCGATGAAGAAGAACATCGATTGGCCGCCTCCTGCATGCCCCCCACTGGGGATCTGGCCCACAACCTGGGCATGTGCCCTGACTGGGAATCAAACCGGCGACCTCTTGGTGCATGGGTCAATGCTCAACCCACTGAGCCACACCAGCTGGATGAAGGTACTTTTAAAAATAGAAGGGTATCCTATAAAAAGAACAATTCAGATATTGTGAATTTATTTTTGTCATATATTTGAAATAACTTGATGCTAGAAGCCACTTGCTATAACAGTTGATAGAATCCTGGAATTTTAGTAATGTTTTTGAATTTTCTGGGTTTAATAGTGAAATCAGTATAATAGTCACAGTATAATATATATATATATGGAGGAGAGAACACAGAAAAGATGGACAGAAATAATCATGCATGATTTACAACTTGAAAATAACACAATGAAGGAAGCGAAAGTAACCCTCCCAGTCCTCTGCTCTGCCACTTTCCAGAGACAGCCCTCTAGTGGGCATTCCCGAGCTACATCTCTCTACTGTGTGTCCTAATTCTAAACCTACGCATGTGTATTTGATTCTGGGTTTGTTATCTCTAAACAGCCTTTATCTACTCTCTGCCTGATGTGTGAGGAGATTAGAATATTCCTCTCCTCTAACCCTTTCATTTATTCCTGTCTTAAGTTTTTGGAGCTAATATTTTTTATAAGGAAAAGCTTTATAACATGTACCTTCTATTCTGTAAGTCGTCATTTTTTCCAATAGATGGCACTATACATGGAAAAACCAAAACAATCTTTATTTTGTTATGATTGTATAATTATTATCCACCATAAAACCTACCATTCAGTCCATAAGAAGGGAAATATGATCCAGTGCTATTAAATATTTACTTCTTAAAAGAGACTTCTCTCTCTCTCTTTTTTTAATCCTCACTCAAGGAGGACAGTTTTTGCATTTATCTTCAGATAGAGCAGGAGGGAGAGAGGGGGAAGAGATAGAGAGAAGCATTGATGTGAGGGAACATATCGAATGGCCGCCACCCACTCGACCCCAACTGGGGCCGGAGACAAACTGCAACTGAGGTACGTGCCCTTAGCGGGAACCGAACCTGGGACTCTCTGGTCCATGGGCTGATGCTCTAACCGCTGAGCCAAACCGGCCAGGGCGAGACTCTTCTACAAAACAGTCAAATGGATTATTTTTTAAAATCATCTTTCTCTTCTTGTAGGTTTTATTCCTCTGCTACTCTTCCTGGGATCCCATGTGAGCCACCCTTTTACTCTCCTCCTCATTATGCTGGATTATGCCCATAAGTAATTTTTTTTCAAAAGGTGCATGGACTTCTACGTCCAAACACCGTATTTTGCTCTCTTTATTAATAGTTTTGCGCTCCAGACCACTTTCTTGTCGTTAGCACCGCCGATATATCTGATTTTACTTTCGTTTTTGTAGGTGGCTTGTCTCTCTCTCTTTCTTTAGAGGCGTTCGGGGTTTTCTTTTTGCCCTCGGAGCTCTGAAATTCCACCAGGATCTTTTCCTGGAATGATCGAAACTAAAATTTACCCCACGCAGCACTCGATGGAGTCTTCTTTGACGATTTCTTTCCTTTGCTGTTTGTTTTCTCCTTTTGGAACAGATTTTTGAGTTTCTGGATTTAGTCCCTGTTTTGACCTTTCTCATAACTTTTTTTTTTTTTTATCCTCGCCCGAGGACATTTTTCCATTTTTTGTTCAGATAGAGCAGGAGGGAGAGAGAGGAAGAGAGAGAGAGAGAGAAACATCGACGTGAAGGGACACATCGAGTGGCTGCCACCCGCACGACCAACCAGGGCCGGGGACAAACTGCAACCGAAGTACGTGCCCTTAGCGGGAACCGAACCCGGGTCTCTCTGTACCGCAGGCCGACGCTCTAACCGCTGAACCAAACTGGCCAGGGCGTCTCATAACTTTCAACTCCTTCCTCTTTCCAGCGAGGTCCAGCTTGACCTTCCAGGGTGCCGATGCAGTCCTTAACGGCTCCCCTCTGCTCTCCAGCCGTCTGCGGAATTTTCTTCCCAGTCGTTGTCGATCTCCGAGAACTGGGATTGCGTCTTTTCCATAGCAGCGGTTTCCTCCCGCCCTTTTATTTACAAGTGCGACTTTCTCTTGGATCTCTTTTTAAGATGTTGTGTTTTCTGTGTTAATTCTGCATCCTTGCGGTTCATTCTTCTGTTTGTCATGTTTGATTTTTGTCTTTCATTTTCTTTTTTCCACCCAATGTTTGGTGATGTGGGGTTACATTATCATATATGTCGATGAGGGTCTAAACTGAACAATATTGACAGCTGAAGGTTATTTTCTCGGCTCAGGTGGGGCGCCCGATTTTTAATTTGAAGTGAATTTAAATTCCAGTTACTAGAGTCCTAGATCTAATGATTGTGTGTGTGTGTACATAGAGCCAGGGCTGGGCTGGGGGCTGTTTACTTCTTCTGGTTGTCATGCCTGATTTTGTGATGGCTGCGAGTTGCCTCAGACCTCAGCCAAGAAAGAGAGGCCCTTTTCTTACTAAAGTCAGGAGAGGGAAAGAGGCTGCGAAGACGCCTGTGTTAATCTCTTTACTTTTAATTTCCAAAGTCCACAAAAAGATATATTTGTTAAATATCTATAGCATCTGAGGTTTTCTTTTCTAACCAGGGACCGTAGGAAGACTATACTTGAGTTTTAGGAAGGCATCCGGCACCTGTCATGCTGTCTTTAAAGGCAGGCTGGAGAAATATCATCTGGATTTATCAAAGGAGTATTGAGTATTGGGTCAGATATTAACACGCAACAGAACCCTACCCTGGTGATTTACTCTGAATATCGGAGAAGAAAATGAAAACCACGACTGAAAGCTTCATGGATCTGTTAGAAAGGACACAGCTATGTATAGGAGAAAAGATTTCAGAAAGAGGAGGAGGAGAGAAGCAAAACGAGAGCCCGTGGGGAGTTAAGAATGGGTTCTGAGGAGTCGGGGCTGTCATGCAGGCAGTTACCTCCAAGTCGAGGTAACCAGTTCCCCTTTGGCATTTTTGTGGAGACCCAGGGAAGAGTCAGGTGGCTTTCTGAGATGTGTTTCGATAGCAAACCGCTGCTCGTTCTGAAAGCGACGCCGTTGAGAGAGGCGGCGGGCAGCCAGGATTCTGTTCTCTCTGCAGACAGGAGGCCCCGGCTCGCCTGGGCAGGGGTCTGCCGCGGGCTCGGTTCGCTGCGGGTCCCGACTGGCGCGGCGGGGGCTGGGCTTCGGTCTGCGCCCCTCCGCCAGCAGGCCTGGACCACGCCGCGCGGCTGCCGCGGACGGGCAGTCATTTGACACCTTCCCCACATTGATTCAGTGTTACTAAGAGAGGAGAAACACGTCATACAGATTGCATACCTCACTCTTAAGCCAAAATGAGGGATCTAGTACATGTTTTTCTAAACTCAAAACAACAGCAGCAACTGGAACTGCTAGACCTGAGACGACAAGGTTGTTTTCGGTGAGTAGCACGATGCCCGGTGGGTGCAGACTTTTCAGTCGCTTGCACCTGGCCGTCCGAGGACACTTCAGCTGTCGGGTCACAGGGTTTTCGTGTGGCCACACACAAGCTCCAGAAAGACTCAGAGCCAGAGGGTAGCCCCGTGAAGAGCGGCGCCTGGGGCATCTGGCAAACACCTATCGCGTGTGTGAACACAGAGCGCCGAGCTGGGGAATGGGGCCCTTTCTTGGCTGTATCAGGAGTTATCTGGAGGAAGCAGGAGCTGATTGACAGCGTGGTTTTCTCAGGAGGGCACTGTTTGTGCTCCCGCCGGACTGGCTCCCCAAACAGCTGCTCGGTTGGCGGCGCCCAGTGGGCTCCACCTACGAGAACCCTCCTGATGCTCGTGCAGTGCAGACTGACCGCACAAGTCTCACTGTGACGCGAGCGTGGCCACGGGGGAGGCGGCAGCATGACAGAGGGCAGAACTGATCCCAGTCGCTCCCCCAGTCATAAGCGGAGGTTCCTACCACGGTCCTTCCCCCCTCAGATTTTAAAGTCAGAGATGCACTTGGTACAATAAGAAATCAATGTTTCTCCTAACTTCTTACAGAAATTGTATGAAATTTTGGAAACCAACAAACGAGATGCTGTCAAAGAACTAGGTAGGTCATTGGAGTATCTGATTTCCTGAAATCACGCCTTGCGTATGTGTGTGTGTGTGTGTGTGTGTGTGTGACGTGCCATTGAGTTGGCTTTGACTCCTGGAGACCCTGTGGATGCTGATGGATGTCCACAATGTCCCGTCCTCCACGGGCCCGCTCACCTCCTGCACCGCCTGCCTGTGGCTTCTTCTGTGGAGTCGATCCGTCCCATAGTTGGTCTTCTCTTTGCCTGCTGCCTTCTGTTTTCCCAGCATCATGGTCTTTCCCCAAGAACCCGCCTTCTCGCGATGGGCCCGAAGTAAGACAGCTTCCGTTGGTCATTTTTGTCCCCAGCGGCTTCAGGCTTCGTTTGCTCTAGGACCCATCATCCCCTCATTTAACCAAAAGAGGACAAGTCCATGCTTTCATTTAGTTATATACTTATTTTTAATGTTTTCTTAAAAAAGTTTTTTTCTTTACTGATTTTTAGAGAGAGAGGAAGAGAGAGAGAGAGAAACATCAATGAGAGAGAACATGGATTGGCCGCCTCCTGCATGCCCCCCACTGGGCATCGGGCCCACAACCTGGGCATGTGCCCTGACCAGGAATCAAACCGGCGACCTCTTGGTGCAGGGTCAACGCCCAACCCCCGAGCCACACCGGCTGGGCCCATGCTTTCCTTTAATTCCACAATCAACCATCTATCATCCAACAAGCGTTTACTGAGCACATGTAATGGACCAGGTAGCACATGGTGCAGAGCCTGCATGTGAGCCTCTCTGGAGAACTGCAGAGGGTTCGAGTTCTGTTATTCACAGTGGGGCACAGAGGAGAGAATGAGGAGTGTGGAAGGTTGTATTGAGGTGACAGGATCTGATTTCTTCAAGTTGCAAGAAACAGACTGGAGATGACCTTTGTTTGACAGAGGGTGCTTTGCTCCGTTGGCGAGGAGACACAGGACTGTGAGACGGTGAGGATGTCGTTTCGCGACCTTCTGCAGTCGCTCTGCTGGGGCAGAAGCAGACGGCCGGAGGCCCAGGGTTTCACACAAAGCCTCCCGAGCCTACTTTCCTCGGAAGGGGGAGGTGGACCAGGCCTCAGTGTGGGCAAAGTATCTGGTGGGGAGCCTGGCATATTGTAGGACCTTAATAGAGGGAAGCTGTTCTAAAAGAAATAAAGTAAAACCACTTCACCTGCATCACCATTGTAAGAGGCCGTGTGGACTCCTGAGCATCACACTTTCCGAATCAAAACAGAAAGGGCACAGTCTAACGAATGACATTTCAACTTTGGAGACAATAGGTTGGAATAGTTGGGCACCGTCTAAGGAAACTCAGGGCCCGTGGCTGCCATTCACCTGTAGACAGATTTTTACTTTTGTGCTTTTAAAGACGAGGGGCTGGGAGCTGCTGTCTTACTCTGTTTTAGGTTTGCCCTATTCCCGTATCGTTACGCAGCGGGGCACTGAATGCTGGTTGTGCCGGGAACGGTGTTAGCCGCTTGACCGACATGATCTCATTGAATGAGGCAAACACTGTTGTGATCTTCATTTATAGATGGTGCAACTGAGGCTTAGCAAGGTTAACTTGCCTGAGCTCACATGGCTGGTGAGTGGTGAGCTCGCCCCGGCCCAGGTGCGTCTGGCACCAGAACCGGCCCCTGATCCTCGTCCCCTCACTTACCCGGGCTGCTCACTTCAGCTGGAAAATGCCCGGAGTACCTTGCGGCTGCCAGGCCTCGTGCCGAGTGCCAGGATTACAAAGCTGGAAAAGACACTAAGCCTTGACTCCCAGTCCCACCGTGACTTCTCACGTTCACCAGAGGGAAAACCTTGGGGTGTGATCTCAGAAAGACCCACAAGCCAAAGTCCAGGGCTCTTCGAGCAAGGCATTTATGCATCTACCCAACAAAAAGTAGATCATGTGTATCAAGCTATAATTTAGCTAAAACGATGCGTGGACGGTGAGACAAGTAAGAAGAATGATAGGCAGTGGGATGAGCTTCGGGGTGGAGCGAGGTCGGAGCGCGTGGGACTAAGGCAGACAGAGGGCCCTCCTCCTCGCCGGTGGGGAGAGCCCCTTGTCAGGTTTCTCGTCCATGAAACGGAGATGAAAAGAACCCTGGTCCTACCAGCCCCCCGAGTTCTGTAGGAAACAGGAGCAGAAGGCTGTCGTGTAGATACTGTGGCAACCACAAGCCAGCATACAAACACTGGTGACTGGGGTTATTGCCTCGTTTGCCTATTGACGTTTCACTCACACCAGGACTCATAGAGCACGAGTGTCGTGACGTTGTCATCGCGCTGAAGACCAGGCAGGCCATCCAGACCGTGGTCGCCAAGGCGCTGAAGCACCTCGCCTTCATGTGCTCACGAGGCATCATCGATAAACACGAGGGCATCGAGATGAATAAGGTAACGGGGTTCCCTCCGCCGACTCCCCAGCCTGTGCTGTGCGGTGGGCAGAGTGGAACGAGCCAAGGAGATTGAAAACGCGAGTGGTTAACCCCCCGCCGACTCTCGTTCCCCTGCAGCCTTTGTCAAAGCCAAAGGCAAGGGCACCGACGCTCCCTGGTGCTCTGCACGTCGCAGCTACCTGGTTGCAGGTCGGAAACCAACCCGAGCTGGGTTTAGCACAGAAGTGAGATTGGGAGAGTTAGTAGAAGGACACAGAGGACCTTGTAGAACTCACAGTAGATGGACCATGTGGTCAGGTCAGGAAGGGACTTGAATAAGGACCTAGAAGCTTCGCCAGGCTCTCCGGTTCTACTGGAGTTGCCCCTCTGCGGCGGCGTCTTTTGGCTCCTTCTACAGACGCACTAGGCGTCTCTGCTGCTCTACCCACTGGTGGAGTGCGGACTGCCCAGGCCTGCCGGCTGTGGCAGGGGAGGTGGGAGTCACGTGATGTTAATGTGGTAGGGAGGGGAGCAAGGGGTGTGTGTGTGTGTGCACGTCTTGGTGGGGGTCAGGGAGGGAGCTGTTCTAAGGGGAGAGGAGAGGGAAGACAACCTGATCAGTTGGCTGATAGAAGGATTTTTGAAAAATTATAAATACATTTGCAAAAAATATTAGGAATATAAACCAGAGGGAAAAAATGTTTAATTCTACCACTTTACACATTTTCTATCTTACCGAGGGTCTCTCTGCCTCCTAGCACGAAGCAGAGAAACCGGGGTTCTGGCCCTGCATTCTTTGTGTTGCCCACTGCTGAGTTCCTTCTGGGTGTCACATGCTGTCCCTCGCCACCCACAGCTCCAGCCGTGGGCCACCGTGCACAGGAATTCAGGACAGAGTGTCCCCTCCATGGTCCCAGAGGGAAGAGGGGGTGGGACAGACCTTTCTCCTTTATGGCTCTCTCTTCAGTCTCTGTAACTCATGGCAAAGGACTGGGCGGGCCGTGTGATTTCTCCGTCACGTGCACGAAGAAAAGGGCCACTCAGAGTGTTCTTCAGGTTACACCTCTACACACAGGTTTTGTGTTTCTCTGTTTACCACTTTGAAGGCTATATAGGATTAAGTCGAATGCTTGATACCCGTAAGTAAATATAACCCTTACGAGGAGAGAGATTTAATTTTTCCTGTTGTTTTGTTTAGAAAGGTAATGGGCAATCATTCCACAGTTGCTAATTGAATGCCTACTGATTGTCCAATTGTCAGCCAGAGAGATGTAATTAGCAATCCCAGGTCATAAGGGGCTAGGTAAGTCTGTTGGATTTAATTCTGCAAATACGCATTGGATACTTACTACGTGCTAGGAACTCTTGAAGAGATTGGGATAGTGAATGGATACAACACTGACCCAAAGTCCATGGGCTTGTCCTCATTCTTTCACTTAGTCATTTGTTCATCCAACCAACAAAAGTTACGTAATATGGAGGCTGAAACATGTAAGTAAAACTACTACTACTAGTGCAATGTGATGGGTTGTAGGAGATGCCGACGGAACAAGACAGACAAGTGGTATCTTGTACCCGGAGGGGGAAGCCAGAGAAGGCTTCTCGGAGTCCACAGAACTGTATCCTCCCAAATTAGAAGGGTTTAGAGAAGCAAATCATATACATGAGAAAATACCGAGCGAACATGGCATTAATTCATGTAGCAATCAACTATGAAGTTTAGATCATTTGAGATGAAGACAGTAGAATAGGAGGGTTAACTGGACTATGAAGATGGTAAATTGAACATGAGATGCTATGTTAGTGAAAACAGTAGTAAGGGGAGCATAGGGACAAAAGGGGGGGTCAGAGGATGATTTAAATGGGGTGAGAAGCTGAGTTAAAAATCAAGGTTACATTTGCGCGACAGTGGTTGGTTTAGCTTTCTTCGGTTTCAGCCCAATGTTCCTTTTCTGTGACAGGATCTGATCACCTTTATTCCGACTGCTCGTTTTCAGGTACTTCTTTCAAAAATAAAAGCGCTGAATAACTTTCCAATGGCGATCCCGCCCCCGACTCCTGACAAGTATCTCCATAATATTGTTTGGCTGGAAAATAAAGAGGTTCTCATTGAGTTCTTCAAGGTAAGGATTCTGTCTTCTCTTCTGGCTCAGGTTGCATGGTAATTATTTTCCATTTTTTCCCACTCCCCAATGCAAGATTAACAACAACAAGAGCAAAAATCTGAAGCAAGAATCCTGTAATGGCCAATAAAGGGTAGATCTCATTTTTGAGCCTAAAAGGCAAAGATCATTTTTTTCCACAGTGGATTCCCTGCTTAGGATGAGCCCTCTCTGTTACCGGATTGCTATCAACCCCACCTTATTTTGCGTTGTAGAGTTCTGGGCTTTTAGACGCATTATCTGAAAAAGACTTTTTTAGATCAAGGTCCTCAAATACAAATGACTCCACAGGCCAGGAAGATAAACGGAAGTCAAACCAGCAGTGTGGCAGGGAACAGGGAGGACTGTGGTGCAGTCAAGTTCACGCCTGTGCAAAGCCCGCTGAGTGTTGCTACAGGGACCTGAGCTCTGCGGACGAGTCTTTATCGAACATCCTCCGTGTGCCAGGGATTGTCCCCGGCCTGAAGAGGTGGCATCGAACGACATAAACGAAGTCCCTGCTTTCACGGAGCCTGTTCAGTTTTTCAAAAATCCAATTTTAAGATAAAATTAGAATCTGGTTCTTTACAGGTGATGATGTTCACAAGTATAACTGTCACTGACCATCCATCGGTGAATGGGGGAGGAATGGGAAAAACGATGAGAAGAAAACTCTATAAATTAACGATTCACAGACACTGAGGTGAATCCATGACCAGGGCACAACCGTCTCCTCCTCCATCCTATGCACAGTGGCTGGACGTTCTCTGCCCCCTTACGGACAGCTCTCACTCTTTCAGTGCCCTGTTCCTTAGCATGTTGGTTCTTGGTAGCCTCTGAAAGCCGGTTTCAGCAGGGTAAGAACTGTGACGAGTTGGGAGCACACGGGCGTTATTCTCATTAGGAACAGCCCATCGATTGTGTGGATGACTGAAACCTACACAGAAAAGGAAACAAGCAAACAAAAACACCCCTTAATGAAGACTATAATGTCAATCTTGGTCTCCATCACAGCTTCAATAGTTAATTTACACACACACACACACACACACACACATATGTATTTTGTTTCTCCCCTTTATTGATTTTAGAGAGGGAGGGAGAGGGAGGGAGAGAGATAGAAACATTGATGAGAGAACATCGATTGGCTTCCTCCTGCATGCTCCCCACTGCAGATTAGCCCACAAGCTGGGCATGTGCCCTGATCGGGAATCGAACTGGTGATCTCTTGGTGCATGGGTCAACATTCAACCACTGAGCCACACCGGCCAGACTCACTAGTTAGTTTTCAATATTCCTCCCGTCTTTCATCCCCCATCTCGTACGGTTTATTAAAAAGGCTATAAAGTCTGTAAAGATAAGACAATGGTCGGAGAACAAATTCTGAATAATCCACATGCTGGGTAATTGGCTTTAGGTGAGCTTTTCCTGTTTGTTGTTGTTGTTGTTGTTTGTTTATTTTTTAACTGTGAAGTCATTCATGCTTATGTTCAAATACTTCAAAAGTACATACACTGAAAAACGAGAACTCTTCACTCCCTTGCCCCACGCTCAGTGATGGCCACACGAATGATTTGAATTATATTTCCCGTACATCTTGGTAAAATGCGAATCTGTCACCATAATTCTCCTGTTACAAGCCCTTCAGTGGCTTCGCTCTGATTTTGGAAAAAACCCAAATTCTTTAACAGGGCTCCAAAATCCCCCAAGACCTGGCTCTGGCTCACCTCCCCACCTGCTCCCCCAGACTGCCTTATGCCTTCTCATGGGCCCTGGGCACTTTTGCCTTAGTGGGCCTCTTCCTCCATAAAAAGGGTACCAAAAAGTGTGCTTTATGACTGTGTTCATAGGAAGATGACTATATAGTACTAACTAGTACTAGCTGTTGTAGTATTAAAGCATTCTCCTCTACCTAAAAGTTCTTTATTTATTTATTTATTTTATCCTCACCCGAGGACATTTTTCCATTTTTTGTTCAGGTAGAGTGGGAGGGAGAGAGAGGAAGAGAGAGAGAGAGAAACATCAATGTGAAAGGAACACACCAAGTGGCTGCCACCCGCACAACCGACCGGGGCCGGGGACAAACTGCAACCGAGGTACGTGCCCTTAGCGGGAACCGAACCCGGGTCTCTCAGGACCACAGGCCGACGCTCTAACCGCTGAGCCAAACCGGCCAGGGCCCTAAAAGATCTTTTAGTCCTTTGAATGTTAAAAGAAACGAAAATATTGCTGTGAGCCCCTAAAATGACTGTGAACCCCACAGTCCTTAATGGACAGCTGGGTCCTGGTGCCCAGCGCGCCCTGCCTGGGGCACACCAAGTCTGACCCCGAGCACTCTGTTTGCTCCCGGTCTTTTCATATCCTGAACCCTCTGGCCCGAGTGGTCTTCAGCTCACCGAATCTTGGTTCTCGGTAAACTCTTCCGCCAGGTCTCAGCTGAGCTGCTCCTCCTCCTGTCAAGTCTTCCTTGGACACCCAGGGCACAGTCCCGGGGCCTTTCTGGACTTTACCGGAACGTCCTGTCTCTCCTTAGTCAGAAGGATGATCCTTTACGTAAACATCCACCCAACCTGGCACTCACTGGGCGTTCCTCAGCCCCTCTCTGGGTGCCAGCCACAAAGCTCCCCCGCTCCTCCGTCTCTGTCCCCTTCTCTCCGAAGGTTGATGAGGCTCCGCAGCAGCTCTTGTTGTGATGCATCACCAAACCAAAGATTGCAGTTTGTTTTGATGATGCCTGAAAGGCATGTTTGCTTTGAAATCCGATTTCTCTTCAGGAAAGCAGGCTGTGCAGCTTTTGTGTTGCCTTTTCCTTCTCTGATCTTTTCTTTTTCCTTTTAGGAAAGAGCCAAACTTGCCTATTTCGACTACGGAGATGTCATTTGTAAAGAAGGTGAAATGCCGCTGGGAATCTACCTAATTATTTCAGGAATGGCAGTTGTAAGGGACCAGTTATTTATTTATTTTACTTAAAATGTAATTGAAATATGTAATTATGACATAAGGAGAAATTTAGGAATCCAGAAAGTTTCAAAATGTTAACGTGATCTCTTTTCCAAAGGAAACCCTCCCTCTCTGAACACCAGAGCTGAGAGCTGATGCTAATCCCCCACATCCGGAAGGTGCCCCACCTTACAGAATGTTTCATAGTCCTGCTTATTGCTCACAGCGGTCCTGGGAGGGAGCTGGCTTTACCCAGGTGTTCGATTGAGGAACCCAACACCGGAGCGGTTGAGTTACCCACCTGAGGAAAACGAGAGTCAGGAATGAGGGACCATGATGTCACATCCCCTCGGAGGTCAGCTAGGATGAGGATAGAAAAATACAACGTTTAATCTGACCAGTAGGAGGCTTTGGCGAGACAGAGAGGAAGATGTCAGTAGAGTGTTGGGGATAGGAATCCTTTAGAATCCAAATACTAGGGGCTGAATGCACAGATGAGCCCCAGCTCCTGACCCAAATAATTCCCAGACCCAAGATGCCAGTGACAAGCGACAAACCCTTTTTTATAACACAAGTCATATATTTGGCTTTCTACTTTATGGAATGGGTATTTCAGACCTTAAAAGTTGGTTATGGAAATAAGCTATTGTAATACACCTCTTATAAAGCTGACACATGTCTAGCGCTTATGACGTGTCTGGGAATTCCATTCAACAAGTACTTACTTCATTACCGCCTCGCTGTGGCCCTCAATCCGGTCACGGAGCTCACAAAGCAGACAAGAATCCCTGCCTTCTCGGGGTTTCCTTTCTAGTGGAGGCATGGAAGATGGGACACTCGACAAAAGACGTTAAATCAATAGTATGCTAGAGGCGATGGATGAGACGAAGAGGTTGGTTGGGATTTCTGAGAGCGTGGTCAGGAATGGCATCGCATTATGACATTTAATCCTCGTAACAACCTTATTTTTCAAGAAAACTGATGCACAGAGAAATCGATTCACTTGGCCCTCAAGGGCACACAGCGAGAGGTCAGGAGGGCTGCGGTCCCCTGGGGTCGGCCTCGGGGACCGTGTCTGCGTCCTTAGCCATTGTTCCGTGCTGCTTCCGTTAGAATCCGTGTGTGACCAGGTGCTGGCCTGGATCCCTGGGAGCCAGAAGCAGGCGCGGCCAGTGTTCACTGAATAGGTCAGACCGCACCCTTAAAACCGCCACACGCGTGTTCCTTTGGGGAATTTTCCTGCAGTGACGAGACTGACTAGGGTTTCTTCTTTTGTTTTAAAGATTTTTTAAAATTTATGTTTTAAAGATTTTTTAAAATTTATGTTGAGAGAGAGAGATAGATAGATAGATAGAGAGAGAGAGAGAGAGAGAGAGAGAGAGAGAGACTGATGGGCTGCCTCCTGCACACCCCCTACCAGGGATGGAGCCCACAACCCGGGCATGTGCCCTGATCGGGAATTGAACCAGCAGCCTTTCGGTGCACAGGATGATGCTCAACCAACTGAAACACGCCGGCCAGGACAGGGCTTCTTAAAATATAAGGCCAGTGGGATTCGGCTGACGATGTTCCGTTAGTGTTCTGTGTGTGCCGTGACAATTCACCACCGTTAGCAGCTAGTTTTGTTGCTTCATAGCTCCGTGGTTCAGACGGCCTTGGGCTTCGCTGGTTTGTCTAAGACTCCTCTTCCCTTGCATCCCACAAGGCCAAGCTCAAAGGGTCAGTACGGCAGCGTTCCCTTCTGGAAACTCGGTGCAGAATCCATTTCCAGTCTCAGGGACGTGGTCGGCGGGACCGGCTCCTTCCAGCCGTGGGAGCCACGTGGCTGCTGCTTGGCCGGCTGCCAGCTGGGACCCGCCTTTAGGTCCTAGAGCGCCTCTCTGGGCCTTGCACACAGCCACTGGCGTCTCAGAGCCGAGCACGCTGCGTCCTCCTCACAGTGCCCCGTCTCTTTGAATGACTCTACTTCCTCTCCCGCCGTAGAGGACTCGAGAGTCCACGGGACTCGCAGGATAATCCACGATCAGCTCTAAGACCAGGTGGTTAGCCACCACAATTCCAGTTGCAGAATCCCTTCACAGCAGCACCGAGTCGAGTGTAATCGAGTCAAGTGCCGAGTTACAAAAGTAGGAGTCCCGGAGGGACTTGTGTACAATTCTGCCGGCCCAGACGCTGCCTTCTTTCCTTGGTTTGCAAGGGCAGGGCCATCCCTCATCGCTCAAAGGGCCTTGGGACTGCATTCGAACTCAACGGGAAGACCGCCCCGGTCCTCTGGGGCATGAAGGCCACTAGAAGTCTGAATGGCGGTCACCAGGGGAGGGTGCGGTGCTCTCAGCGGCTCCTTCAGTGACGCCGGATTCCCCGCTGCCTGTGTCCTGAACAATCGCCTTGGTCTTTGACGTTTCCAGCTGAACTTGCTGGAAAATTCTGTAGCCCTGCTGGGTGACTCCTGCAGCCTCCTCCTGAAGTCTGAGGCCTTTCTTCTCCCCCACCCACGGCTACCAGTTCTTTTCCTGGGGGGAGGACTCAGCCACCTCGTGGTCACCCTGAGAACGTTTTCTGTTGCTTTTACTGAAACCGCGGCTTGGTTTTGTAGGTGTATTAACTCAAGATGTGTGATCTGTGCATCCAGGCAATTAGAATGTGGTTTTTGCCCCCGAGGCACCGGTTACGCTAAGGATATCTAACGGACTCAGGGAGTTCCTTGCAGACGGCAACCACTACTTCTGCGGGGGTAGGGGAGGGTTGTACAAGGAACGGATAAGGAGAAAGTTGTGAAGCTAAAGACTGGAAACAGTCCGTGCCCGAGACAGCTGGGGTGTGAAAGGAACCGCGATTTCCGTGAAGCCCGTTCACCCGACAGGGTCCACAAAGCACCTGTCCCTTCCACTGAATAGTCGCAGGGTCGCGCGGGAGCCCCTGCGCTCTGATCTAGGCTTCCTAAGGCGGGGTTCCCTTCGCAGCTGCACAGCCTGCCTCCTTCCTTTGGAATCGACCACCCCGTGAAGTCCGAGGGGGACTCCCAGAGCATGTTCACAGAGTACTGCACGTGTGGGGACATCATCGGAGAGCTGAGCTGCCTGCTCAAGCGCGAGATCGAATACACCGCCACCTGCGAAACCATTCTGCAGGTAGGACCCCGGTTCTGTCCACGTGGGGCATGTGCTTCCTGTGTGTCCCGGCATATCGTTTAGTGCCCCAATCTGCAGGGACGCACATTTAACCTCTGAGTCCTCGTTCCTTGAAGAGAGAGTATCTAACTCTCGATGTCACGGAGATGAGGAAGATGCCCGTGTGACGTGCCTGGTGCGTGTCAGCGCTATTAGGAGGCCGCGCTTTTAAAGGACACTGGTTTTCAGTCCCCCTCTTTCATTCTCTTGCTGCGCAGGGTGGTATCTAGTCCGCGGATCAGTCCTCTGCTATTCCTCCAGCTGCGGATTCAAACAGGGAGGAGCCCGAGGTCCTGCTCGCAGACTTCTGCAGCCTTGGGGCTCTGGCTGCGGTTGGGCGGGACCAGAGCCTGAGGGGTGTGGCACAGAGGGGACGTTGCCCTGGCAACTTCCTAGCATTTCAGTTCTGGAAGAGGCTAGCAGGCAGGAGTGTAGTCACAAGGCTGGCTCCATTATTTTAGGCATTCATTTGGCTTGAATTCCGAAAGCACAGGCTTCCTTGTTCAGGTAAGCACCTCGCCTCTGGAAGCAGAGATTGTACATGAGCCCACCTGGTCTACGCTGGCCATAAAAATAGACAAGGGCCCTGGCCGGTTTGGGTCAGCGGTTAGAGCGTCGGCCTACGGTCCTGAGAGACCCGGGTTCGGTTCCCGCTAAGGGCACGTACCTCGGTTGCAGTTTGTCCCTGGCCCTGGTCGGTTGTGCGGGTGGCAGCCACTCGATGTGTTCCTTTCACGTCGATGTTTCTCTCTCTCTCTCTGTTCCTCTCTCTCCCTCCCACTCTGCCTGAACAAAAAATGGAAAAATGTCTTCTAGTGAGGATAAAAAAACAAAACAAAACAAAACAAAAAAAAAATAGGCAAGGTATGTGGCTCAGTTCCTGCATCCTGGGCTCATGCGCCATATCCTTGTCGTAGCTTTGACGGGTGTGGGTTTTCCTGGCCTACTAGTAGGTCTGTAGCTTCAACTGGGTTGTGAATTGTGCCATCGCATACACAGTGAACAGCCTCTCCAAGGACACGATGCTTCACATGTCAGAGTGTCATAATGGTGCGGGAGTCGACGGTTTTTCTGAGAGGTTTGAGGATGATCACATCTACAGGCATCTGCTCTTCTTTTCCTTTTCTGTTTTATTGGCATCTTGTTTTCTGATGGTCTTGTCATTTCATTCCGAATCGAGCCTGCTGCACGACCCTGTCATTTCAGGCCTGCTTCATCTCCCTGGAGGACTTGTACGAGGGCTTCGATGTGTTCTGGCCGTTCCTGGAATACAAGATATGGCTGAAGCTGGCTCTCAGCACGGCCCTTCAGTATTTCGAATCGGCTCTCGTCGACGAGGTAAGGGACGCGATTAAAACATAAGTGAACTTTCATTCACTGTATGTGTGTGTGTGTATATTTTAACCAAATAATGCACTTCGTATTTTTTTTTGTGTGTGACAAAGACAGAAAGGGTGGTTTTGTCTAATCTTTTAAACGGAGGTTCCAGAATTTATTTGTTTTAATTAAATTTACTGGGGTGACATTCGCTAGTGAGATTCTATAAGCTTCGAGTACAATTCTAGATTCCAGAATGGTAACCACTCTCTTTTCCTGACCGTGTGCTTGCCACAGCTGATTCTCCCAGGCTACTGACAGTCATCCCTTTAAAAAAAAATCGATTCAGCAAATATTAAATAGGTAGATCCCCAACAACCAAGTATAACATTAATTAGAATGAGTTAACGAACACTCATCTGCTGTTTATTATATTCTATTCTGTCTACCCACATTAATATAAATCCTGCCCTTTCAAAATCTTTGCTGAGTTAACCGAGCCTCTTCTATTAGCTTTCTCTCCAAGAAAGTAGCGGTTCAAGTCTGTTCTTGGACTGGTACAATTTTCAATCCCATATTTATATCCTATTTAATAAGTATTTGCACCCTTATAATTAAGTCAGGAAGTGGGGAAGTGACAGACCTCAAGTCCAACAACATTCACTGAGATGAGAGACTGAATATAAATGTTGACTTTAAAAAATGAGCACGTCTCAAGAGAATGAGAAGGCAAACCACAGACCGGGAAAAAATATTTGCAAGGCACACCGGAAAAAGGACTGTTATCCAAAATGTACAAAGAATTCTTAAAGTGCAACAGTAATACAACCCAATTGAGAAATGGGCCCCAGATCTCAACAGACATAACTTCACAGTGAAGACATACAGATGGCAAACAGCATATGAAAAGATGCTCCACACTCATCCCAGGTCACCAAGGAAATGCAAGTTAAAGCACCAGTGAGAGACCACTGCACACCTATTAGAGCATCCAAAACCCAGAACGCTGACCCCACCAAATGCTGGCAAGGACGTGGGGCAACAGGAACTCTCGTCCATTGCCAGTAGGGGTGCAAAATGGTGCAGCCGCTTTGGAAGACAGTTGGCGGTTTCTTTTAAAACGAATCATTCTCTTACCATTCAGTCCAGCAGTCTTGCTCCTTGATATTTACCCGGAGGAGCTGAAAAATTATGTCCGCACAAACACCTGTACACTGTATATAGCAGCTTTATTCATAATTGCCAAAACGTGGAAGCAACCATGATGCACTTCAGCAGGGGAATAGATAAATAAACTGTTGTATATCCAGGCAATGGAATATTATTTGGCACTAAAGAGGAATACACTCTCAAGCCATGGAAAGACATGGAGGGAACTTAAATGAATAGTACTAAGTGAAAGAAGCCAGTCTGAAAAGGCTACTTACTGTACGACTCATACCTATAGGACGTTCTGGAAAAGGCAAAACTATGGAAACAGTAAAAATATCAGTAGTTGCTAGGAGTTGTGGTGAGAAGGAATGAATGGGGGGAACACAGAGGATTTTTAGGGCTCTGTGTGATACTATAATGGTGAATACATGTTACTATACATTTGTCCGAACCCATAGAATGTCCAAACGCCAAGCGTGAGCCCTAATGTAAACTGTGGACTTTGGGAGAGTTTGATAATCTAATGCAGGTTTATGGGGTGTAACAAATGTATCGCTCTGGTGGGAGATATTGATGCTGGGAGGGAGCTGAACATGTGTGAGGCCAGGAAACGTGAGGGACATCGCTGCACCTTCCTCGCAGTTTGGCTGTGAACCAAACACTGCGCTAAAAGGTTACATCTCGAAAACTATTAGCATGCCATACTAAGGCAGTCATGTTTCTTTTACTGTGTAGCAATAATCGTTTTCAGAAAAATGGTAGCAGAAGGGGAAGGAGCATTAGACTCTTCCCTTTCCCCTTAGCCGGGCCTCTGCTTGAAAAGCAGGACAAGGCTTGAGTCAGACTTGACTCAATATTCAGGTGGATGTATCTTTTCATTTTCAGAAAAAATTCACAAGCAACACATATTCATCATATAAATGAGAAAATACAGATATATCACATAAGAAAATGATAACTTTCTACCCCAATTTTACCCCCCCGAGAATCTCCATTCAACACTGGCTTATTTGCTTCTAGGCTTTTAAAACTAAAGAATTGGCCTGTGACGATATTTTATTTATTTATTTTTTTTATCCTCACCCGAGGATATTTTTCCATTTTTTGTACAGATAGAGTGGGAGGGAGAGAGAGGAAGGGAGAGAGAGAGAGAAACACCGTTACGATATTTTAGAAACCCCACACACTAAACCACAGCACTCACAATTTACGTGCATTTAAAAACCCAAATGTCTTTTTCTTTCCTCCAGATTTCCTGGTTGCAAAATTCTAGATATTTGTTAATTTTCTTATGTTTTTGGTGCCTCAGCTGTGCTATTGCCCTTGGTGATTAAGTGTTTGATTAAATGTTTGTTTCTCTTTCTGATAGTTCATTATTGGTGTATAAAAATGCCACTAATTTCTGAATATTGATTTTGTATCTTGTTACTTTGCCAAATTGATTTATTAGATCTAGTAGTTTTTTTGGTGGAGTCTTTAGGGTTTTCTATGTACAATATCATATCATCTATGAATAATGATAGTTTTACTCCCCCCTTTCCAATTTGGATGCCGTTTATTTCTTTTTCTTTTCTGATAGCTGTGGCTAGAACTTCCATTACTATGTTGAATAAGAGTGGTGAAAGCGGACATCCCTGTCTTGTTCCTGATTTTAAGGGAAACGCTTTTGGTTTTTGCCCATTCAGTATGATGTAGGCTGTAGGTTTTTCATATATGGACTTTATTATGTTGAGGTATGATTCCTCTATTCCCATTTTGTTGAGAATTTTTATCATTAATCAGTGCTGGATTTTATTGAATGCCGTGCAAAAAGAGCTTGGATGTCTTCCCTCCTCTTGATTTTTTGGAATTGTTTGAGGAGGCTAGGTATTAGTTCTTCTTTAAATGTTTGGTAAAATTTGCCTGTGAAGCCATCTGGTCCAGGACTTTTGTTTGCTGGAAGCTTTTTGATTACTGCTTCGATTTCAATAGTTGTTATTGGTCTATTTAGGTTTTCTGATTCTTCCTGATTCAGTTTTAGAAGTTTGTATTTTTCATGGAATGGAATTTGTTCATTTCACCAAGGTTGTCCAATTTGTTGGCCGATAATTGTTTATAATATTTTCTTACAATCCTTTGTATTCTGTGATGTCAGTTGTTACTTCTCTTTTATTTCTGATTTTATTTATTTGAGTCTTCTCTTAGTTTTTTGATGAGTCTGGTTAAAGGTTTATCAATCTTGTTTATCTTTTTAAAGAACCAGTTTTTGGTTTTATTGAACTGTTATATTGTTGTTGTTTGTTTGTTTTTTTAGCTTCTGTGTCATTTATTTCTGCTTTGATCTTTATTGTTTCTGTCCTTGCACTTACTCTAAGCCTTTCCTATTGTTCTTTTTCTAGTTCTTTTTGGAGTAGGGTTAGGTTGCTTATTTGAGATTTTTCTTGTTTCTTGAGGTAGGCCTGTAATGCTATGAATTTCCCTCTCAGGATTGCTTTTGCTACATCCCATAGATTTGGTTTTGTTGTGTTCATTTTCATTTGTTTCTGGGTAAATTTTGATTTCTTCCTTGATCTCATTGGTAACTCATTCAATGTTTAATAACATGCTAGTGAGCCTCCATGTGTTGAATGATTTTGAGTTTTTTTTAATTGTGGTTGATTTTTAGTTTCATGCCTTTGTGATCTGAGAAGATGCTTGATATGATTTCAATCTTCTTGAATTTGTTAAGACTTATTTTGTGTCCTAACACGAGGTCTAGTTTTGGGAATGTTCTATGTCTATTTGAGAAGAATGTGTATTTTGGAGCTTTGGGATGAAATGTTGTGTAAATATCAATTAAATTCATCTTATCTAGTATGTCATTTAAGGTCGCTGTTTCCTTTTTGATTTTTTTGTCTGGAAGATCTATCCTCTGATGACAGTGGGTGTTAAAGTCTCCTACTATGACTATTTTGCTGTTGAATTGTCTTTCTTCTTGATACCATGTGTCACTGTGTATGATTTATAGAAAAATGTAATTTAATTGCAGGGCTTAACGTTTCAGAAGTGTGTGGAGCTCAATGCAGCATATGTGGACACTTTATCGAACTGTAACGAAATGACTATCGACAAGGTGACCATGAAGTTCGTGATTGTCGTGTTTGGCAGTGTGATTGATACAAAAACAGAGGTGCCATACCTTGCACCTTGCATCTTACCTAAAACCTGTGAGCAGGTAAGGAAGATCATTTCTAAAGAGTCATTTGCATTCCACAGTGCTGCATAAGTGATTTTAAAGTTCAGCTGACCACCTTAAAAAGAAATTTAACCTGAAAAGACCCTGCAGTTCTCACCTGCCCTTAACAACATGGTCGAAATGTACCCAGGACTTCTGTGTACTGTGTACAGGTTGTGCCCTGCACAAGGGTGTGATCTAGGGGCAGGTGGGGGCTGGGATCAGCCTGCTCTCTGCTCTCTGCTCACCATGCTGTTTGCCCTGGAGTGGGGCTGTGCCTCCCGAGAAGGATGCATGGGGTGTGACTTTCCTGGTTCACACCAAGGCAGTGCCCCCGTGTACTAGCATGTGCCTCCCGAGAAGGATGCATGGGTGTGACTTTCCTGGTTCACACCAAGGCAGTGCCCCCGTGTACTAGCCTGGCTTTGGAGGCACCTGCACTGATTGATAGATAATAAGGGAGCAGAGCTAGGACCGTGTCATTCTGTTGCCACATCAGGGGCTGTGGGCACAACTTGACAGCAGGTCTTGGGCCTCAATCCAGGCCTCTGTAAGGAAGGGGGCAGTATGAACACCTAGGAGGTAATGGGCGATGGGAGGACAGAAGCAGTGTCCCTAATGGGTCGCCCACCACTGGACCACAGGGGGACGGGAGGGTGGGGCCCAACAGAGGGGAGGATCAGGAAACCTTGAGAAGAGCTGACATGCTTTAATCTGGTAACTTTCCCAGACCTGGTCGGTTTGGCTCAGCGGTCAGAACACTGGCCCGCAGACCAAAGAGGCCAGGTTCGGTTCCCGCTAAGGACACGTACCTCGGTTGCAGCTCGTCCCAGACCCCTGTTGGGGTCGTGTGGGTGGCAGCCACTGGATGTGTCTCTCTCGCATCAATGTTTCTCTCTCTCTCTCTTCCTCCCTCTCTATCTGAAGATAAATCAGAAAAGTGTCCTCGGATGAAGATTAAATAAATAAATAAATAAATAAATAATAAAAGTCTCTTCCCTTTGGGAAAGACACTTTCTGCCTGTTCAGACTGGGAAAGGTCATTCATTTAATGGAAATTTATGTCCTGGAAAAGCTGGGAAACCTCCTAAAAAGTGCATTTGCTCCTTTTATAAAATTCTTATTTTGTACCTCTCAACAATTCAGAGGATGAAGTAAATTTAAAAAAAAAATTTAGTCTGGCCGGTGTGGCTCAGTGGTTGAGCGTCGACCCATGCACCAAGCGGTCGCCAGTTCGATTCCTGGTCAAGACATATGCCCAGGTTATGGGCCCAATCCCCAGTGAGGGCATGCAGGAGGCAGCCAATCAATGTTCTTTCTCATTGATGTTTCTATCTCTCTCTCCCTCTCACTTCCGCTCTCTCTCAAATCAATAAATTAAAAAAAATTTTTTTAAACTAGAAAATGAAAACCTCTTTAGCGTTGAAAGAAGCAAGGCATGAGGCAGGGACAACAGCGATTGGAATCGGGCATCGTTGGGTTGAAAACCTGACCCTGTGCCCACGAGGGGCGTGGGACACAGCTTCCTCAGTCGTGAGACGAGGGTAACAGCAGCGGTCCCCTCGAAAGGTTATCGCGAGGGTAAAACGAGAGTGTGAGGTATCTGGAAATGATACTTATTTGTTACTTGTCTGCTACTTGCATTCCGGGAGGGCAGATTTTATGGGTGAAAATTCTAAGAAAAGAAAACCATCCCGCTATGAGGGAAGGCAGGGTCCTGAGCCCTTGGACGTCAGTGGGAGAGTTAAAGTAACTCAGTGGATCCTGGGGATTCTGTTTTATTTTTTTTATTTTTTTATTTTTTTTTTAATCCTCACCCGAGGACATTTTTCCATTTTTTGTTCAGATAGAGCGGGAGGGAGAGAGAGGAAGAGAGAGAGAGAGAAACATCGATGTGAAGGGACACATCGAGTGGCTGCCACCCGCACAACCAACCAGGGCCGGGGACAAACTGCAACCGAGGTACATGCCCTTAGCGGGAACCGAACCCGGGTCTCTCTGTACCGCAGGCCGACGCTCCAACCGCTGAGCCAAACCGGCCAGGGCCTGGGGATTCTGTTTTAAATGGGAATTGCCAGTCCAGTTACAAGTAAGGTGCAGGAAATTCCTTTCTGACGTCTATAAAGATGCAGAAGAAAACTTGCTGGTACAGGACTTTCTGAAGCAACGCGAGAGGATTTCAAATGAAGAGGCGCTTAGGTTGGAGGCCCGGTTTAGGTTTTGGCTTATTTCTTTTATTCTTTGGAAAGGTTAGGAAGCAGCCAGCTTGGACATCAAACAATGCTCTACTGACTAATTTGGACTTTTCTCCTTTAGATTCAGGGAACTTCAGATTTAAGCAAGCTACTGGTTATCCAAGCATCCAAGCCTGCCGATGACAATGGCTCCAAGGTCATGGGTAAGGTCTATCTCTTCAGTGGTGGGAAAATCAGTGGGTGGAAGTTTTTGATAAATGTGAAATTAATTTAATTAGAAGAAAATGATCAGAGGGCATGGTATGGGTTTACCATCAACCCCATTCCCGGGCCCATCCTGACTGCCACATTGCTTCTGGGAGGTCACACGTCAGGGACTCCTAAACGCTGAGACCCAGGTGGCTCCTTCCGCTCTCCCACCTTCCCGCTGACCTTTGCTGGGAGGCAGGGAGCAGCTTCCATGTTTTACTCTGTTCCTGCCTTGGAGGCTGGAGCCACGGAGCACTGTTGGGAAAGAGTGGGAATGGGAGGGGACAGATTCCCACAGTGGGCCCAGGGGTGGGGAGCTGGTTCCCGGGGAATAGGGAACCTGACCCAGCCTCACTGAGTAACCCAAACCGTGGTCAAGGCCACAACTCAGATGGCTTACTTTGAGGTGGACTTGGATAGTCGCCAAGTAATTGTAGGCACAGAACGTGTGTCAGCACCCAATTGCCCGTATGCTAGGCAATTCTTTGTGTTAGGCGTATACAAAGACGACGAGGCAGGAAGGCCTTGCTCCAGAGAAAATGCCTTCAGGACCTTTCGTCAATGTCGGCATCTCCACCTCGCAGAGCCCCATGGTCATGGTTCTCCCAGCTGCCCGGCCTGGAAGCAGCCCTCCTTGATTTACTCCTCTGATTGGCACCACCCCGTGTTTACAGTCCGTGTGACCTGGTTTAGAGGGACGCAGTTCTTAACGAATTGTTCAATGGGGGGTGGGCAGCGCGCATGATTCCATTGTGTGCCTAAAGTGACGTTTCATTCATCATTTATATCTCATTATTTCTCACTTGCACGATTCTTTTTTTAAAATACGTTTTTATTATTTTATTTTATTTATTTTTTTTTTAGAGAGAGAGAGAGAGAGAGAAACATGGGTTGGCGTCCTCCTGCACGCCCCCTACTGGGGATCAAGCCTGCAACCCAGGCATGTGCCCCAACTGGGAATCAAACTGGGACCTCTCAGTCCGCTGAGCCACACCGCCAGGCTTGCAGGATTCTTATAAAATCAACCCACCGCGTGCTGGGCACTGCGCCAAGCCCTGGTTGGGGAGCGAGCCAAACTAGGCGTCTGCCCGTGTGGGGAGGACAGACAGACAGTCGTTCTGTCATTCCACTTCCTCCCTGGAAGCAAGTTCAACTCAGACATTCTTAGGGCTCACTTTCCACGCCCTGTACTGGGGTGAGAGGCAGCATGGGATCCGGGAGCGCCCTCTGCCCGGGCCGCCTGTGCGAGCTGGGAACAGCGAGACGGCCATTACCCCGTCCCTCACGGTCTCCGAAGGTCGCCACCCTGCTGCCCAAGCCTGCGGGGCACAGCGTGGACGCAGCCCTCGGGCGCCCGGGGCTGCCGAGTCAGGGGCCACCGTGGCCTGCAGGCCTCTCTCCGTCCCGGAATGAGTCCAGGGGCCCCGAGGGAAATGAATCACTCCGTATTCCTCCGGGAGTTTGGGACAGAAGCCACACACAGTGGGCCCATGGGCTGGAGCGAGCCAGTACACTGGATATGGCCCACATACATGTTTTGTTTTACAATTTTAAAATTAGTGGCCGCGTATAAACATCCAGAAACTTCACCTTTAAAAAAATATCCATGTTTTGAGCTTCTCTTGAAAAAATCAGAACGTGTGCCAACACGCGGTCCTCATTCCTGTCTGTGGAAGACTCGGACGGGGCTGAGACCAGCGGGCTCCACGGGTCGGGGGGTGTCCTCACGGCCCAGCCACGCTGCACCCCCGTCTCTCCAGCCCACTGCACCTGTGTGTGGCTGCCCGCTCTCCCCCGAGTAGTGAACTTCGGGGAGCCTATCACCACGCCCCCCTGCGGGAGAGAGCCCGCCCGAAAGGGAAGGGACAGGGAGGAAACACATTGATGTTCAGAGCAGTCTTCTGCGCGTTGATTCTCAAACTCCTGATTCCGTGTTTCTGTCTGATGCATGTGTTTGAATAGACTCCATCAGCAGCAGTTCGCAGGTGGCGGATAAGGAATACCCCTGGAAGAGAAAAGAGGTAATGCACTCAGTCCTTCGATTCGATTTTTCTTATTGTGAGTACGAAACTACACAGCTGAAATACACTGTGAAGTCAAAGAACAGAATGTTGGTGGTGAATAAGAGACTCTTAGCAGAAACTCGCTGGTTTGGAAAAATCAGGATCAAGCTCACTGTGTGACTTAAAATTTAAAATTATAGAATATTTTTCAAAGATGTAATTTGCCCCCTCTCCCCCCTCTCCCACTTTCTCCCCTTCTCACCCCCTTCCCCTGACATTTCGTTCAAAATTAGGGCTCTCTCTAGCCCTGGCCGGTTTGGCTCAGCGGTTAGAGCACTGGTTTGCGGTCCGGAGAGACCCGGGTTCGGTTCCCGCTAAGGGCACGCACCTCGGTTGCAGTTTGTCCCCGGCCCTGGTTGGTCGTGCGGGTGGCAGCCACTCAATGTGTTCCTTTCACATTGATGTTTCTCTCTCTCTCTCCTCTTTCTCCCTCTTGCTCTCTCTGAACAAAAAATGGAAAAATGTCCTCAGGTGAGGATAAAAAAAAAAAAAAAGAAGAAAAATTAGGGCTCTCTGGGATTAGGGACAGGGAGGCTCATTACCACTGAAGTATCCACGCTTTTCCCTTTGGAGTTTGCATCCCTCATGGACCTGTGGGTGCCATGCTGGGGGCACATGGGCCAAGGGCTGATCATTGGCACCTTCCTAGAGCATCAATTTTACTCCATGATCTTTTAGAGGAAAAAAGTGAACTCATTTCACTGTTAGGTTAATTAAAACATTTTATATGAAAATAAACATATTCTGAAGTAGGACGATGGATTTTTAAAGAGAAAACAAGAGACCTCAAACCATTTTACTTTGGAATCACTTAGGTTGGGCTCCAACATCTTTTCCTACTCTTAAATTTTAGAAAAGTTTAAGATGTGCTGGGAGCCAGGCCTGGAGAGGGCTGGTCACCTTGGGCCAGGATGACAGAGGCCAGTCTGAAGGGTAGCTTGGAGGACATTATTCCCGGGGTCTGCGAGGCGCCCTAACAGCTCGCGGGGGCCCAAGCCCCCTGCTGAGTGGAGCCGGGGCTCTGAGAAGAGCGATATGCAGGAGTCGTCCAGTAGCAGGGTGGGCTTCGGGGGTCTTCAGCCCCCTCCCTCCCTCCCTCAGTGGCCAAGTCACCCCAAATACACATGAGCTGTGCCGCTTCAAGTCCCCCACACCCCCAACCAGGCAGTCACCCTAAAGTGCTTCGAATAGACGTCTGGGTCCTGCCATTGTCATTTCCAACCCTGGTGGTTGGCAGCGCGTTTTCTGGGGAAGGAAAGTTGCATTGGCCAAACTTCCAGTTCACGGTCCCTTTAAACAAAGCCACGCAGTTCTTTCTAGGCAGCCGGCCTAGAGTTATCCTCTCCTTTCTTAGAGAAACCCCGTTTCACAAGCAGGAAACCTAACTGGGAATCAAGGAATTGGGTTCCTCACTTGTCACTGTTTGTTTCCGGGCCTCATTATTTAAAAAAAATTCTCATTTGATTTAGGAGAAAGTGTCTGGTCACCCTGTAATCAGCCACAAAGTTAACTGGAATTCAATTCTCCTAACATTTCTCTTTTTCTTGAGAGAGAGACTACTCTAACGGAATGGACGCAGTATCTCTTTACAAGTTGGTGTTTGATGGTATAGAGACGCACATGTATTTACCAACAATGTCTATCACTCAAAGTCCTTCCAATGTAAGATCTTTTAGAGGGAGTGTTCCCTCTATGGAAACTTTTTGTAAGTTTTCTGGTGGTATTTAAGATAAGTACTTTTTTTTCCCTGGAATGAACAGAGTCTAATATTTCACTTCGGACTCTCTCTTGTAGTCGGAAACTGGATCTCATTATCGAAAAGCACATTAATGGCGCTGGTACGACATGTGAAGTTGGGTTCAAGACCAAGCCAATAGCCTGGCTCAGTGCGGAAGGATCACCTGGAGAGAAGTTTACTTAGAAGTCGCTGCAACAATTTCCTGCTGCATTTATTTTATCAGCAATCGATAGGCTGCTGACAAAGCTCTGGTTTTAAGTAGCTGCATTTACCTGAGCTGTTCAAAAACTCTTCCGGATAAGATCTCCCCAAACTGAACGGCCTACCAGGTAGAGTCCTGCTCCAGCTGCGAGCCAGTTATAGGAAAATACAAGTTAGTGAAAGCATTGTACAGTATGTTACTGTCTAAAGCAGAGAATCTATCATTTTGCTTTGTGATATGGCTATAATTAGTGCCTCCCTATAATTTTCCAAAGTTATCCCCCTGCTCCCCAATTTAGTGACTACTGAGAAATGGACCTATGTTTCATAATCTCAGTCCCTGAAAGCAAAGTTGAGACGTTAACTATCTTATATTGCATAGTACTGTTTGATGCTATTTTCATTTAGTTTTAAAAAGTCAAATAAAGTTGAATTTTATGGTCTGCTCATTAGATGCCATTGTTCCTTCCCGTTTCAATGAAACTTTAAAAGGATGCAAGACTCTCGACCCCAGGGAAAACTGTAAAGAAGGAAACACAAGAGAAAAAGTCAAGCCTAACTATTTATGAAGAACCTTCTGGACGCCCAGCCCGGAGGGTGACTTCTCCGAGTGACTGTGGCGTTCCCGTGTCAGCAGGTGTCGGGGTGGCTCCCCGTTACAGGACCCCGCGTGGCTTTATCTTTCGGATGCAAGCAGATGTCTGGAGATAGGCAGAACGGGACTGCAGCCGTGGCTCGAGGCAGCCGCGGACCCGGGCTCCCTGAAGCCTCCTCCTCCTCTGCCCCTGGCTGCTACCCTTGGTCCTGGATGACAAACCTTTCTCAATAACTCCGGGCACCCCCGGCACTTGTCTGATGAGGAGTTCTCCTCCTGAGCCTTTGCCTTCCGGTCAGGAAGGGACCCCACCTCGCCACATGCTCACACCCTCATCTTAAGATGCATTCTAACTGTTCGCCTTGCCAACCCTGATCCAGCCTGGTGTTTCCCACAGAAGGGGGAATGGATGCTGGGTGCAGCCTGCTGGAACCTCTCTGGGGTGGGCCCTGAGCTCTGTGTTTTCACACGTTCCTCATGCAATTTAATGCCTTTTGGAGCTTGAGATCCGCAGTACGGGGGGGTAAAGTAGCAGAACACAGATGTCTGCCCTCCAGTCTCAGGAGCACATCATCACGTGTCTGAAGCGACCACAGGATGATGCCGCCCTCCATGCGTATTCGTCAGGTGCCAGAAGACCCAACTCAGGAAGGCTTCAACACTACAGAAATACCCCGTGACGTCGGTCAAGGGGTAGGAGGGATTGCAGGGGTAGCCCCGGTGATGAGCGGATGTTTTCTCTCGCCGCCTACTGCGACCTTCAGCCTCGTTCTGTGGCTGGTTCCCGTTCCCGGCAGCAACCCATGCTCCTGCCTTCTTGTTCGTCTTCAAGACGAGCCCGAGAAAGAACGGCCCCCACTGGCTTTCAAGAGTGAGAAAGAATTCTTCCAGGAATTCCAATGATCCTCTACCTGTCTTCTCTCCAAGAACTGAATCACAGGCTCATTTCGGGACCAGTCACTAATGAGAAGGTGGTAATGACCCTTGACCCAGTCAACGCACCATTTAAGCGAGAATCAGTTATATCTCCTCCGATTGCATGGCCCCAAAGGGTACAGTCTGATGGAGTAAATCACTAATGCCAGTTCACCCGAAGTGGCATCTTAGCCTGGCCGTGCACACAGCCATTCTGGCTCCTTAACCCTTGGCTGAGCCTCTCAGTGCAAATTCCTGCCCTTAGGGTGGAGGTGGGGGTGGGGGTGGGAGGTGGAACCGGATGTGTGGCAAGACCACACAGGCCAAGGTCCAGCAGTTGGCTAATCTTAAACTCGGCTGGGTGTTGTCTGAAGTCACGTGGACTGTCTCTCAAAGCCATGGTCACATATATGGGTCCACTGTCAACGAATACACCTGTGGATGGTCATGCAATTTATTCTCTTCCTATGAAAATTGAGCACAATTCTCCACAGGGAACTCTACTCTCCACACCAAAGTGTGTTAATATAGGCTTCGGATCGCTTCTGCCTAGAAATGCACTCATTATGTAACATTTTATAATTGAAAATAATTCATTCAGTCTCATGGCTTCATGACTGCTCAGTGGTTGAGCCAGAACGCAACGTGACGGCATGTGAACCTTTCCTGTGAGCTTTTAAAGAATTTTTATACCGACATCATCTTTATGGGTGCAGTAGAGGTAAGCAAGCAAAACATAAGGCGGGGGCCTGAGTGAGTGGTAAGGAGGCGAGGAGTTTCTCGGGGGAAAAGGTGATGATTTTGCAAACTCAATGGCAAAAGTTCCATCAGTCAGTCAAGACTCCGGTTTGAATCATTAGTGTTGGAGATTTATTCTTTGAACTTCCACTATAAAAGGAGGTCGAAGCCAGACTCTCCATGAGAGACAAGCATTAACCGTGGCAAACAGCCAACAAAGGCGTAGAGAGCAGAGAACCCAATAGGAAGGCAACCGGAGCCGGAGGAGCTGGGGTTAGTCAGCAGAGATGCTTCCAGAGGACCAGACAGCAGTTCTTTGAAGGCAAAATGTCTTGTGACTTAGAGATGAGCACAGGCCAGCCCTTGTAGGTGTCTCTTGGACCAGCATTCCTGAAGATATGGTGCAAACTTGGAATTTTTGTTTGTTTGTTTTTTTATCCTCACCCGAGGATATTTTTCCATTTTTTTGTACAGATAGAATGGGAGGGAGAGAGAGTGAGAAACATCGACGTGAAGGGACACCTCGAGTGGCTGCCACCCGCACGACCAACCAGGGCCGGGGACAAACTGCAACCGAGGTACGTGCCCTTAGCAGGAACCGAACCCGGGTCTCTCTGGACCGCAGGCCGACGCTCTAACCGCTGAGCCAAACTGGCTAGGGCGCAAACTTGGAATTTTTACGTTCATTCCAAACCTCCTTACTGTCACCCACCTTTTCTATTTTTTTAATCCTCACCCGAGGACATTTTTGCATTTATCTTCAGACAGAGCGGGAGGGAGAGAGGGGGGAAGAGAGAGAAACATCCCTGGGGACAAACTGCAACTGAGGTACGTGCCCTTAGCAGGAACCGAACCCGGGACTCTCTAGTCCACAGGCCAACGCTCTAACCACTGAACCAAACTGGCCAGGGCGTCACCCACCTTTTCAAGGGAACTACAGGCCTAGACTTTTCTGATACCTGGCACCAGGGACCCTGTTTTACATTATTTTACTCAACAAAAATATAGAGGCTACATGTAAGAGACTGCACCTGGTGTGCGACACTTCTTTCCAAACCAGGACTTCTTAGCACAGCGTAAGTCCGAGGGACCACGAGTTCGGAGTAATTATTACTCCTTCCAGAAAAGCACATATGTACCATTATCCTCAAGATCCAGTGTTAAGCTCAGCAATCCCATTACGGCACTAAATGGAGAGCTTGTTACAACAGGGGTCACACACTCAAGGGACTAGAGGACCCAAGCAGGCACCACGAACATGAGGTCGGCTGCGCCTCCCTGCTCACGAGCAGACACCGCATCTCTCCAGAGGGAGGTGTCAATGCCAATCCCAGCGTGGATACCTCTGCCCTCAGGACGCAAGTCCAAACGAGTATTTCAAAACGTGGCAACAGAATTCTCGGATCCAGTTTTAACAAAGGATTTATTCGCTAGATCCCCAAAGAGCAAAATCCAGACAGTGCTGCCCCACCCCGGGCAGTATTTCTATGCACAAACATTTGCAGCCCTCCTCTGCTCCCTCCCCAAGGTGAGCCCTTGGGGCGGAAAGGCTGCCGCGGAAATGCCCGCGGTGACAGGCAGGTGGCACTGTCGCTCTGTTCAGACCTCTGCTGCACCAGCACAGGGAGCGGAGCCCTTTCTGGAGCCTCCCTCTTGATAGAAAGTTACCAAAACGTTTTCGTAGCAAAATATTTAAAGATCTCTCTCCCTGCTCCTCCCACGTCAGTTGCCTCCTGGAAAAGTACAGAATTGAAAAGCTTTTCCCCTTAGCTGTGATCAGAACACTGAGTGTTGAGGACTATGCAGTTACTCTAGCTTCTAAGGTAATATACTTCGAGATGGACAGAGGAAATCGCACCTCCACCTCTGCTGCTCCCCAAAATGTGTAACGGAGGAGAGGGTTTGATTAGAACAGCCGAGCAGCAGCGACAACAACGAACACGACGGTCATTCCCAGATGGAGAAAGCAGCGTTTGACCATCCAGGATCCTGCCCTGCTGAGCACAAGCCCTGCAGAGATCCAACACGATCTGTCTCAGACACAGACCGTGTCAGAGGGCTGGGAGGGCGCTGGGACACCTGGGCAGAACACAATGCTGGTGAAGGCACGAAGCAAAGAATCCCACGGAGTTTTAGTGCCATTTTCATTTAATAAGCCAGTAGTATAGCAACCTAGAGACCGTGGCTGTGAGCACAGCGGGATGTTTCTATGGCGGCGCCGCGGGCACCCCCGGGCTCGCGGTGCCAGGCAAGCATCTCCTGCACCAGCTCCTCGGGGAGAACTACGGCTGGGGCGTGTAGCGCAGGTACTTCTTGCCAGATGGGAGCTCTTTGGTGAAGACTCCTTTAGGGAAAAGTTTCTTGGCTTCCTCTTCAGGGATGGTTGGAAGGACCATCACGCTATCTCCAACCTGTTGAAAGACGTTGAGAATGGTGACGTTCAGTGGGCAAGGCTGAAGGCAGGAATGAACTCAAGACCCCCGGGCTCCCCCGGTTCCTGGAACAGGCCCAGCTCGCCCCCGGTGAAGCGGCCTGCAGCGGGCCTCCCCTGGCAGCCCTGCGGAATGCCAAGCTCCCCGCCTCTGGCTCCACTCTGCCCTGCCCCCATGACCGCGGCACTGTGCCCTCACACACTGAACTGCTTTCTCGGTCTCGGCCCCCTGGAATGTGAGTCCAGGGGTCTGGAACATCATTGCTCACGGCTACATCTGGGCTCAGTAAATGTGTGTTCAGTGAATGGATACTGCATTCTAATTGACTTACTTACCAGAAAAAACACACAACAACCTAGTAATCAGGTAAGCATATTTTAGAAACGCAGCGACACTAAGTCACTCCTGTGATATGATCCATGTCTTACAGCGCAGAATCCCACAGAGGAAAAGCTTAAGAACAGGCGTCAGAGGATGCTCCGTGGGTTTGACGATGCGGAAGAGAAGGAACTACTTTAGGACAGTAAGACATAAAAAAGTTTTATAGCCCTGGCCAGTTTGGCTCAGCGGTTAGAGCGTCGGCCTGCGGTCCGGAGAGACCCGGGTTCGGTTCCCGCTAAGGGCACGTACTTCGGTTGCAGTTTGTCCCCGGCCCTGATTGGTCATGCGGGTGGCAGCCACTCGATGTGTCCCTTCACGTCGATGTTTCTCTCTCTCTCTCCTTCCTCTCTCTCCCTCCCACTCTATCTGTACAAAAAATGGAAAAATATCCTCGGGTGAGGATAAAAAAAAAAAAATTAAAAAAAAAAAAAAAAAAGTTTTATAGCCAGGACTTCAGTGGCCATTATAATTTTTATGGTGATATTTTGCCATCTGGAAAGGATTAAAGGCTTTAAAAAAATCCTTTTGTTAGGAAAGAGAATCATCCTGACCAATCAATTTGTCCAAATAAGCAAAAAGCTAGAAAGCAATATAGGGAGTTTGTGATTTATATGACAGTGTTAAAGACCTTGAACATGGCCTCTCAGCCATGAGGACTAACCCTCCCCGTGGACCTGCACACTCGAAAGACAGCCCCAGGTAAGAGAGCCCGAGGGGGCCCCTGGACACCAGCCCCGCCGGCCTTCGACTCGGCCCTTTGGGCCTCTTTACCTTCCAGTCCACCGGGGTGGCAACCCTCTTTTCTGCCGTCAGCTGGAGAGAGATCACTACTCTGAGAATCTCATCGAAGTTCCTGCCGGTGGTTGCTGGGTAGAGGATGGACAGCTTCAGTTTCTTGTCAGGGCCGAAAATAAACACCTGCAAAGCACACAGGCACAGAGAGGACGGGTCCTTGAGCGGCTGTGATACCAAGGCCTCTCGGAATGCCCGTGCGATTAAACATGGTCAGGGTATAAAAACAAAACGACCCAAAATCCCCACACCTAGAATGACACCCCCAACTTAATCTGGGTGGCGGTGGCTGGATTCTAGATGCTTTTCTTCTCCATGTTAGTTTTCTTTAAAAAAATTAAAAAACAAACAAAACTTTTCAATTACAGTGACATACAGTGTTATGTTAGTTTCGGGTGTACATCATAGTGTTCATGTTATTTTTCTACACTTAGAAGGGAATTATATTTGGTTCCGGCTGTCCCAGTAAGAAAAACTGATATGCAAACTGAAGCCAGGAAAAGGACCCTGGAAGGTACAATGTTACACAATGGAATACTATGCAGCTGTAAAAAAGAATCGATTACCCTTTGAGATGACATGGAGGGACCTGGAGATTATTATGCTAGGCGAAATAAGTCAGTCAAAGAAAGACAAGTACCACATGATCTCACTTTTATGTGGAATCTAATGAACAAAATAATCTCATGAATAAAATAGAACCGGAGGCATGGAAACATGGAGCAGACCGATGAATCTCAGGGAAGGGGGAGGGGGCCGGGAGGAGATTAACAAAAGAATTTATATGCATATAGAACAGACATTAGGGTGGTGGAGGCCTGGGGTGGGGTGAGAACCAGATGGAGGGGGCAAGGGGGGAAATAGGTGGGGACATCCTAACACTTTCAACAATAAAGAAGAAAAAGGATACTCTTGGGAGTGGATACCGAGCCTCACATAGTGGTGCTTTTTGCCCACGAGGGGCTGTTTGCTCTCTGGTGGGTCGGGCCAGAACGAACACAAATTCAAAACCAGAGCTGCTTTCTGAAGAAGGATGGGACCCGTCCCTTTAAAGAGAGGGCCGTCAGGAGAGCTACAGGAAAGATGACTCAGTTCGAGGTGACTTCTTATCCTACTTATTCTGTGTAGATTTCTGAAGCTATGAGTTAGCCAGTTGACAAATTTAGCATGAGCACTCGGATCGTCAGTGAGCTCGCCGCCGATCCGGTGGTTTCCGAGAGGAAATAGATAGATACTAATGGATAATCTTCTGTTTCCTCTCGCTGGTCCGAGCGTTCACTGGACACGCAGCCGGGCCAGTCAGAGGACCACAGAACGGACTTGGACAACTCACCACACGGGCCGTCACGGGCATGCCCTTCTCGTCCTTCTCTGCTGGGTCCAGCATGCCCAACAGGACGGCGAGGTCCCGATGCCTGTCGTCGATGATGGGGAAAGGTAACTTCTCTGTGGGCTCCTCGCAGTTGTAAGCGTTGATATCCTAAAATGCAGGTGACAGGGAAAGAGAAATCGGAATCAGGCGCATCCTCCGAATTCAATCCGTTAACAGCCATCCTACTGCAAGACAGGAAGGAGCACCATAGTCACAGTAGTTTCTCTTAGCAACTTTCGTAAGTACACGAACGAATGAACACTGTCCATGCCAGTTACTCGCGGACAGGGACAGCAGCAGGGAACCAGCCGTACTTCGGTTATAAGCATGGACCCTTTTCTTTTTTAATCATCACCCAAGGATATGTTGATTGACTTGAGAGAGGAAGAGAGAGAAACATGGATTGGTTGCCTCCTGCACCCTGAGTGGGGATCGAACCCACCACCTAGGTATGTGCCCTGACTGGGTATTGAACCCACAACCTTTTGGTGCACTGGACGATGCTCCAACCAACGGAGCCACTCGGCCGGGGCTAAGCATAGACCCTTTTCATGCCCAAGTCTCTTAAAATGCAGCTTTCTTTTACTGCTGAGATGAGACAGCAGCAACAACCTCTCAAAGCTGAGTAGTATAGTGTCAGATCCCAACCCAAGGTACCAGCAATAACGGTTCCTTGAGTCCATCACATCTAAAACGATGCCAAATTCAAATGTAAGTCTACAGATTGATCCCTACCTCAAAAGCACCCTGACTCAGACATTAAACTACTAGAAGACAGATATTACGAAAGAAATCATAAAACTTAAAGCAAACAGAATGGAGAGTTGAATATATACCTCAGGGACAAGTCAAAGGTAAAACTCTGCGTGAAAAGGCAGAGGGAAATTTACACTGGGGTGAAATCCACACAGGAAACGGAGCTGAAACAAATCTGAACTAAAGGACCATAAAGTACTTGCCTCCTCTCTCCCCCTCTCCTCCCTAGTACAGCTCCTGTTTCCAGGTTTCCTATCCCTGGACGTTTTCTTGGGGGGTGGGGGGGCCTAGCTTCATTATTCGATGAAATAGTACTGAGAGGGCCAAGTATTACGGTAGGTGCATGTGGAATACAGTGGGTAAGACAGTTCCTCCTGCAAACCTGGTTAGGTGATTTCCACAAATGGCAGATACAATCTTTGTGACTTCTCAACACAGATGCCAAAAAATGAAAGTGGCATTGATGCACATCGAAATGGGCAACAAGAGATTTTAACATGTTCCTTAATTTTATCATCTTCACTTCCCTTTTGCCGCCACTGGCTGCCTAATCAAGTCACCACAACTAAACTAATCATTGACTTGGTTCCAGAGGCAGAGACATTTCTCCTGTAACTAGCTATTGCCAAAGGCTGGGCACTGCTTCTGATAGTTGGGACCCAGCTCCTATTTAATGCAATCACAATTTTGAAAATCCTAAGGCTCAGCAGTTATCAAATGAACCTGGGTGGCTCCTATACCTGAAAAGGTACTGAGTAGGAATGGGCACGAACTCTTCCTCCCGCCATCTGCAGTTTTAACTGTTGCTGTGCAGAAATTCTCTACCCGGCCACTTGCGTGATAGGTGTCACGTTACTCCCATGAAAACCAAACCACGTGCTTTGACTTTATTCTATCCTAAATCAGACTAACTTCTCTCTCTGTCTTCTGGGATCCAAAAGAGCACTGGTTTGAGGTTCAAGTCGCGATGCCATCATTTTCTAGCAGGGCAGCCTTGAGCAAAACTCCTCTCCTCTCCTCCATGGTTCTTCAACGCTCAGACACTCAGGACTCACTGGCATGAAACGGCCAAGGGTGGCGGCCCGGGGGCCACCTCTCAAGCCAGTACACCTCTTCGTCAGTTGCACGTGCAAAGCTTCACACAGGGCCTAGCACACGGCGAGCATCCCTCCCAAGGTCCCGTCACTGGGCAGGCGCACACTGCAGCAGTCACTCAAACGTTCTCGGGTCACGTTTAGACCACACATTAATGTCCGAGGAAATCCTCACGTTGAAAGTAGACAATTCCTGCCTGGCCGGTGTGGCTCACTGGTGTGGCACCAAGAGGTGGCCAGTTCGATTCCCGGTCGGGGCACATGCCCAGGTTGTGGGCCCGATCCCCAGTGGGGGCATGCAGGAGGCGGCTAATGGATGTTCTCTCTCTCCCTCCCTCCCTCTCTTTAAAATCAATAAAGAAAAATATTTTTTTTTAAAAAGAAAGTAGATAATTCCTTCAGTTAATTCATTCAATAACTCTAGACCGACTGCCTAGGAGACTGAGTGCTGAGCTCGGTGGATGGTGACAAGTGCTAAGACCAGGGAGCTGTACTTTTAGGTAAGGAAGCCAAGGCCAGCCTTAGAGGTGTCATCTGAGTTGAGACCTGAACGAGATGACAGCAGGTCACAGAGACACCCGGAGAAAGAGACTTCCAAATGGGATTCGCGATCTATTTCGAAGGCACAGCAGACGCTGGTGAATCAGACACGCGATGTGAAAACCAGACGATTCCTGGATTTGGGGCTCAGCAACTACAAAACGCAGTTCCCGTGAGCCGCGATAAGCTCCGATTAGGCACAGAACCTGTTTTAGCCGTGCTGGTTTGAGATGATGGGTATGGGGAGCCGCGGAGTAGGTGGCTGTACCAGTCGGGAAGCCAGGAGAGTCTGGCCTGGAGACGAAAAGCTGGGAATCGGCATATCCATGTGAGGGGACAAGCTCCCCCAGGGAGAGAGTGCAGACAGAGGACTAGAGGTCCCAGAAGCAAGCCCAGGGCAACGTCAGCATGAGTGAAGAGTTGGGAGATAACGAAACCCCTCCTGGCCTGAGAAGGCCCTGCTAGAGGTGTGGTGTCCAGAGAGCCAGGAGAGGGGAACGTTTGGTACAGACAGCGATGCACTGGGCAGGGGGCTGCTGCAGGGCCAAGGAGGGTGAGGGCCGAGAACTGGCCCTCGGATCGGGCGAGGCAAAGGGCACTGTGCGATCAATCCAAGGCAGAGCTTCAAATGACCAGCGAAGTACGAACCCGAGGTTTACCTACACCTTCCTCTCTAAAAGATGAGCTACTCTCCGATGCAGAGCGTGATTTCTAACCTCAAAGCACAGGCCCGAGGATACGTTACCTTGCTCCAGGCAAGATGGTCTTCGACACTGTCTATCGAAAGGGCAATCAGCTTAACGTTCCTCTTGGCAAATTCTGGCGCCAGCTTCGCAGCCCTGCCCAGCTCTGTGGTGCACACGGGAGTAAAGTCCCGAGGGTGGGAGAAGAGAATGCCCCATCTGCAATGATGGAAAAGGTCACAGCTGAACGACCGGGTATCGCCAACAGCATGTACAAAGAGAAGTCACAGATCCGAGATAAAAAATGATGTCCTTTTTTTTTAAATGGACACTTATAAAGATAATTACTTTTAAACTTTTCTGTTGGGGAATGCTGCTTCATCTTCTTACCTCCGGAAGAGCCAGTGTTTAAAGCCCCGTTTAATCAAAGATACGGCGCTCAAGATGACAAATATTTTAAAAGACTAATTTAAGGGTGCTGCCTCTTTTAATCACTACAGACCCAGCCTGACTCCTCAGCTAATAAAACCTGTGCTATTCAAACCAAGTAGCTTATTGAAATAACTTTTTTTTCTTCTTACCCTCTCCATTGAGCTCTAATACTGGGTGTTCCCATGGTCCCCAAATCCAAACAAATGCCCGACTGCAATAATGAACAGATTATGTAATCTGAAATGAACAGGCTTGTACCCTCCATGTATATTAAAGTGGATGCTTGGCGTCTTTGAAATGAATGGATATAAAATCTTTGATAAGACTGCTTTACCGGTCTAACTGCCCAACAGGACCCCCTATATCCGCGACGTGACAAAAGGGCACTTTCACTCAGAGGTGTACCCCTCTTCCTTTGTGGTTTCCCTTCCGTCTTGCTTCAGGCCAAGTAGGTAGAAAACTGATCACCTCCAAAGCAGATCTCCAGAACTACAGATTTGTAGGTAAATACTATTCCCTAAATCATCAGTGCCTGAAGTTGAACTTGTAGAGATTTTAAGCACGATTCCAGCTGAGCCACCAAGAACCTTTGGAATTAACATTTCCTTCTCCTTGGCGACGGAATGGCATCTACTCTCTTGACTGAAAAGGGACACTTAACATTCCGTTCTCCACACTCCCGGGGGCTTACCACACCAAAGCAGGACCCTAACCTGCGCGACCAGCTCCAGCTTAGATGCCAAGCTGACCTCTCCCAGTTTGCCCAGTTTCCTGAAGCACAAAGAACAAAGCTGAGACCAGGGTACCCCCTTCCCACTTGCATCTGTCACTCAACTCCAGGCTTTGGGGAAGGAAAAGACCTTCCTACAGAAAGGATGCAGGCCCCCCCAGAAAGACTGGGAAGAGAGGTGATATATTTTTTTTTTCCCTCACCTGAGGACATTTTTCCATTTTTTGTTCAGGTAGAGTGGGAGGGAGAGAGAGGAACAGAGAGAGAGAGAGAGAGAGAAACATCGATGTGAAAGGGACACATCGAGTGGCTGCCACCCGCACAACCGACCAGGGCCGGGGACAAACTGCAACCTAAGTACGTGCCCTTAGCGGGAACCAAACCTGGGTCTCTCAGGACCGCAGGCCGACGCTCTAACCGCTGAGCCAAACCGGCCAGGGCGAGAGGTGATATTTTTGAGACTGCAGAGTCGTGTGGCATATTTACTTTTTCATAAAGGGCAAGAGCAGGGACATGTATCTTTTGAGATAAATAATCTAGCTCTAGGTAAAATCTAGGCCCTAGAGTCTATGAAAGGGGTCTGTTTAGGGATCAGACGAGACTTCTGAGAAGAAATGCAACTGGACATTTCTTCTTGTTAAAGGGGTGATGATGCCCTGGCCGGTTTGGCTCAGCGGTTAGAGCGTCGGCCTGCGGTCCAGAGACCCGGGTTCGGTTCCCGCTAAGGGCGCGTACCTCGGTTGCAGTTTGTCCCTGGCCCTGGTTGGGTCATGCGGGAGGCAGCCGCTTGACGTGTCCCTTCCACGTCGATGTTTCTCTCTCTCTTCCTCCCACTCTATCTGAACAAAAAATGGAAAAATGTCCTCGGGTGAGGATAAAAAAAAAAAGGGGGGGGGGGTGATGAATTGGGAAAGTTGGGTGTTTTTCCTTCCATTTCCAGTTAAGAGACCATTTCTCTGAATCATTTCACACCCTCTCCTTCCGGAGAAGCCAAGCTCCAGTTTACCCCTCGTCTGGGAGTGGGGTGAACTCTGAGCGTGCCTTACTGCGGCTGCCTTCCCCAGCCCCTGCTGCTGCTCTGAGAGTAAGTCAATTACACGATCCCATTTCCTTCCTTCCTCATTTTCAAAAGACAATAGGTTTCCTCCTTTAATGGAACAGTCCCTACTCATTAATCTCCAGAAAACCCCGGAAAACACGTGTTTGTTTGGTGAAATGCACTGTGAAGAAACTGCTTATACCACAGTACATAAGGATTAAGTGATTAAAGCTCAATAAACTGGTCTGGCCGGTGTGGCTCAGTGGTTGAGCGTCAACCCTGCACCAAGAGGTCACCAGTTCGATTCCGGGTCAGGGCACATGCCCAGGTTATGGGCCTGATCCCCAGTGGGGGGCATGCAGGAGGAGGCCAATCTATCTTCTCTCTCATTGATGTTTCTCTCTCTCTCTCCTCCTCACTTTCTCTCTCTCTAAAAATCAATAAAGAAAAAAATTTTTAAAAATAAAATATAAAAATAAACTCACCAAATGCAGCCCCAGACCCCTCAGTTGTCAGGCATGGGGCAGGTGAAATGTAAAGTTATTTCTGCCCTGGTTGGTTTGGCTCAGCAGTTGGAGCATCGGCCTGCGGACCAGAGTCCTGGGTTCAGTTCCCGCTAGGGGCATGTACCAAAAAAAATAAATAATAATAATAATAAAGTTATTTCCAACCCTCTCCAAAAAAACCCTGAATCAAAAATTGAGTCTGAATTGAGATTGCATACAGAATAGTTTAGAAAATATTACATTAGGCAAAAATTCATGTACTATAATGACATAAAGGGTTCAAACGCCTTTTGGGGGTGGGGCATACTTGTATAGCTTTAAATATATATATATTTTTTCATTGATTTTAGGGGGGACAGAGAGAGAGGGAGAGAGGGAGAGATGTCAGAGGGAAACATCGATCCGTTGTCTAGCTGCTGGGGATCGAACTCACAACCCGGGCATGTGCCCTGACCAGAAATCGAAGTAGCGATTTTTTCAGTGCACAGGATGAAGTTCAACCAACTGAACCACACCGGCCAGGGCTTGTATAGCCAGTTACAGATGTGAGCATTTTTCTCATCTTCCCGCTGGTGGCTCCCTGAGATGGTACCACTTTCAATCAAATCAAGAGAGTTCCAGAGGCCAATAAACTACGACAACAACAACAAAAAGAACCTAAGAAAGTAGAGTTAGCTTAAATAGTGACACCATTTACAATCATTGCTGTAGTAATCATGCTTATGTTAATATTTATCTTTAATCCATATAGTCTAAGAGTTCTGGTAAAATTCTTATGTTTTATGGGGGTGAGGGCTGTAAGTGGACATGGGAGGGAACATAACTCTGAAAAATTCCATGAGGTTTTGGAGAAAAATGAATACCTAGATTCTGAGTATGAGATGGGCCTTGGTCTGTATTTCTTTTCCCTTTTTTTTTTTTTTTCAATCCATCCATGTGAGAGGGGCACATAGACTGGTTACCTCCCCGCACGACCCCAACCGGGACTGGGGAGGAACCACAACCTAGGTATGTGCCCTTGGCCGGGATCGAACCTGCGACTCTGGTCCTCGGGTGATGCTCTGACCACTGAGCCAAATCTGCCAGGGCCTTGGTCTGTATTTCTGAAGCCTTTTTCGTCCTTTAAGATCTGAATGTTTTAATTTCTCATTCTTTTTCAGCCGAGTCCTCTCTTTCACAAGGGTTCGCTTTTCCCTTAATGAGTGGCTGGAAGTGGGTTCTAGGGGGTTGGGTCGGCCTAAGGTACAGCATCTCTCCCAGATTCTCTGCACAGCCCTGTCCAGTTGTCGACTAATCTCATAAATTCCTTTCCGCCTCTACATAGAGATACCCTGGCATCATATATAAAAGGCTTCGCGCCGCGGAGGAATTGATAGGCCTCACAAGACCACAGGGGAGTCTGGCCGTTGAACCATACATAATGTAACTAGACACCTGTGGGATGTTTCTGATGGAAACCAAGCAACTTAAACTTTGCAGATTCAGAAGCTGTAAAACCAGGGTGACAGCAATTGACTCGCAGTCATCACAGTATGACTGCCAGGCCAGATTAACAGGTCACCAATGTGTACCTCTCTCGCAAGGCCATGCGCTGCTGGAAGCAAGGCAGAGGGGGAGGGGCAGTGAGGGGCACACCACAGGGAAACAAAGGGTCTCGGACAGCGGAGGGACACGTGTCCTGGCAGGAACAGCTCACTGCCACTGAACCACCCTTGAAAGCCCTTCCCTCGAAGTGTTGCAAGTTCTGGAATGAAGGACGCGCCTACACACAGAGTTCCTGGTTCCTCCCAAAGCTGTTATCAACGCGTATCCTGGCCACTAAAGGAGGCTCTGGGCCAAACAGTCTCCCGGCCACTTCGGTGGTTTTAAATTTTCCATTTTGTGCGAGAAGCCTGCAAATACCAGGCAGCAAGCAGAAACCTTCGCCCAGCTGCAGTGTCCTCGGACTCTGGCCTCAGGCACCCACCTTCGCCAGGGAGCAAGCTCCCGAACGGAGGGAGGGAGGGAGGGGGGCACGACCTGGGCACGAGTCCCGGGAGGTGACCGGCGAGGCCGCCGGCCTCTGTCCCCACCGGGCCCCGGCTGGGCCGTGCTACTTGCACACTTTACCAAACCGAGTTAAACGGACAACACAGCCTGCTGCGCACCCACCTCCGGTCCCCGGGACCTGCGGAAACCCGATTTCTTCCCTCCCCCCCCGCCCCGGGGTCACGCCGGGCGCCGGGAAGCGAGGGATCAAGTGGCCCACGCGCGCCACGTGCAGGAACCGGTGCGGGGAGCAGGCGGGCAGGGCCTGAGCGGCGGGAAGACCAAGGCAGAAGAAAGAGGGAAGACACCTTTGGGTCCGGGCGTGACCCGAGGCCAGGGCAGGGCGACGGGGTGGCCACTTACGAGTCTCCCAGATAGTCGTGGAAGCGGATGCGGCCGACGGTAGTATTGGCTTCGAAATTGGGAGCCTCGTCCCCGAGAAGGAGACCTCCGGGCATGGCGGCAGCAGTGACGCGGGAGCACGAGAAGGCGCAGCGGCGACACGCACCAGCCGGCGGGTTCGGAAGAAGGAGGTGCCACTGCGGAATCGGTGGGGCCTGGAGGGGCGGAGCGGGCGGGGCCTGACGGGCGGGGTGGGCGGGGCCTGGCGAGCGGGGAGGGCGGGGCCGCAGCCAGCGCTGGCGGGAGCGAGGGGCGGAGCCACTGCGGAATCGGTGGGGCCTGGAGAGGCGGAGCGGGCGGGGCCTGACGGGCGGGGCGGGCGGGGCCTGGCGAGCGGGGAGGGCGGGGCCGTAGCCAGCGCTGGCAGGAGCGAGGGGCGGGGCCACTGCGGAATCGGTGGGGGCCTGGAGGGGCGGGGCGGGCGGGGCCTGACGGGCGCGGTAGGCGGGGCCTGACGAGCGGGGTGGGCGGGGCCGCAGCTAGCGCTGGCAGGAGCGAGGGGCGGGGCCACTGCGGAATCGGTGGGGCCTGGAGGGGCGGGGCGGGCGGAGCCTGACGGGCGCGGTAGGCGGGGCCACAGCTAGCGCTGGCTGGAGCGAGGGGCGGGGCCACTGCGGAATCGGTGGGGCCTGGAGGGGCGGGGCGGGCGGGGCCTGACGGGCGCGGTAGGCGGGGCCTGACGAGCGGGGTGGGCGGGGCCGCAGCCAGCGCTGGCGGGAGCGAGGGGCGGGGCCAGGACGGGATTGCTCTGGCGGTGCAGAGCCCTGCCACGTCTGTGACCATCCTAGGAGCCTGTGGGCCTCCGTGTGTGTCCCCTTACGTGGCGTCGCCCTGTGCAGGCGCAGGGCTGTGCAGGATTTGCCCCCGCAGTGTGTTTGCGCTCTGGGGTTGAAAGAAAGCGCAACGCAGTAGGAACCCGGCCCAATGCGGAGAATCCCGCGGCCCCCCCGGGGCCCCGAGCGGCAGAATCCGTGCAGACCCTCCTGCGCACCCACTGCGGGCGACCCTGCACTGCCCGCTCTGGCCCTGTGAGTCTGGGATCTGGCTGCCCGGCCCGCCTAGCCATCGTGAACCCTGTCATATCGGAGGATGTGGCAAGAGCCAGACGTATGGGAGACCTTAAGTCAGAGGAAGTGGCTTAATTGTTGCAGCAAAAATTCTCGCTCCCGTGTTAGTCAGTGCTTGGGGGATGTGACCAAACTTTACATTTTTATTCCACTCCCCATTCCCAGAGCTCATTATGAACTGTGAAATAACCAACAATTATTCTGAAATCTAAATGTAAAATTGAAAACATACTTATTGTGATCTTCTGTGTGCAAGTCAACTCTGCCACCCAAGGTGGGAAGTTCACATTCATTAATTTGCTTTCTGAATTAATGCCAAGCATGACATGTGCCAAGCATGACGTGGACAAAATGATCATTTCCTTGGCGCTTTCATTCTAGTGGGGGGACATGATCAAATAAGAATATATTAGCAGTAAAGCCTATTCAGAGGAATAAAATACGGCGTGCTAGAGGTGGTAGATCTGGGAAAGCATTATCCTACCAGGATAATGTAGGTGAACTACTCAGCACATAGTAGGTGCTCTGGAAGTGGCAGCTATCATTTGGATGATGATAATTCATACAACTCTTGTTTTGCCAACTATAGGCTAGGCGCACTGTGCCGGCGGTGTTGCAATGGAGAGATACAGTCCCTGCTCCTACAGGGAAGGCAGCGTACATGTAATTATGACGAAAGTGCAGGGCAAAAGCTGACGGGGGGAGGGCGCCAAATGGTGGGGGTTCAGAAGTGGGGAAAACTCTCAAGCGTAAGGAAGGCCTGTGGTAGTGTTAGGAGGAGGGACTCGCTGTGATTTCAGTTTTCCCCGTGGCGATGTTTTCATGTATGTGGGTGCATGCTAATCAGATTTAATCTGTTCTCCTCCAAGGATTTGCAGTAAGATTCTTGCTAAAATCTCTAGCCACTCAAGGGAACTGTAAAAGCTACTACAATTTAATCTCTAAACTAATTTAACTCTGAACTTTGGTTCTGTAAGTTTGCTGTCTTGGCTCCTTTTGTAGTGGAGAAAGAGAAGGAGAGGAATTTGACCTTAAGGCACTATTAGTGGTACTGTGGAACTAGACTAGAAATGTGGAGAATACTGCAAGCACAGATTGCTGATCTCTGTAAAGGGCATAATTATAGAACTGTTGGCTGTAAATTAAGCAAGTACAATAAGAGAGAGCCTGTTAGAATTTCCAGTGCCAGGGACTGTACCCCGGCTATCCTCATCTACTTGAATCTTGGCAGCATTTTCAATTCTTTTGAATCAGCTGTCACCATTTAAAAAACGTGAATTTTCACAAAAAGATCTGGATATCTGTCTCCCAAAGTGTCAGAAGATCTAGCCACACCGGGCCCATGGTCTACTTGGCAAACACCGGCTGGAGAGCAGCCACCTTGGAATTGTACATCGTTCCCTATTTGCTTGGAAAGTTCCCAAACACTTGCTGACATTGTCTGTTGTCATTTTAGCTCCTCCCTTGCACTGTTATTGTTATTTTTTATTAGAAGAGAATTAGGAGGAAAATGAGTCCTATCCTAACATATCCCCATCTCTGTCGAAACTGTGAAAGTGAAAGATTGACTGAGGGCCATGTGTTTCCAGGAGGAACAAGACAGAGCATAGTTCTTTGTAAAAGTAAAGAATGTTCCCTGTACTTAATATGCAAACAGAGTGCGAGGAAACCTTCTGTCCTGCTTGGCCCCTGCAGGTAGTTGGGTTTAACCTCTGCAGGCCACTGAAGGTTGGGGCTCTGTGCACAGAACCCAATTTCTAGAGGGAAAAAGTGAACCTACTATCCTAAGGGCTTGCAAGAAGTGCCATGGGAAAGGAGGAAGGAGGAAAGGGGGAAGGGAGGAGGGCCGAGGGAGGCATTGCAGGGACGGAGGCACCAGAACGTGGAAAAGGGAAAGCTAGGCTAAGGCAGATACTCACGTTGCAGAGTGGGTAGAGGCTCTGAGATCGGAGAAAGATGTTTCCAGGCAGCTGTCCGGGTTGGGGAGAGCCCTGCAGTCCTTAGAACCATCTCCCGAGTGACAGGAAGGAAGGACTGCAAGGACTCAGAGGGCCAAGACTCCTGGCTGGCTGAGTCTCTCCTGTCCTTACTGCTTGGGACCCACGGGAAGGATTGGCAGTGCCATTTGGGACAATGACAGTGCATTACGGTGTCTCTTTCTCACTAGGTTGGAAACTCCTAAAGGTTTAACCCTGTTTTAATGATAAGCATCTGTGACCTTTCTGACAGCGTGGGCCGGGGCTAGGTTGCACAAAGCATCAGTGAAGCGTTTGGCTGCTTTCCTGCAGGCATGATAGCGGTTTCCTGTCTGCCCGCAGCTGGGAATAGAAGAGCGGCGCGTCCCAGTTAGAACAGCAGCCAGGCAAAACTTCTCGTGCACGTGGGGGGAGATAACTGAACCTTGAAATTAATCTTGGGTAGGTGGGGTGATGCTTTTAAAATAAATTCTTATACGCTTTTTCGTTCAAGGTGATGGTCTTTTTCAGAGAAAAACAGTGAGAGAGCTGGAGTGTACACTGATCAGGGCAGTGCTATCAACCTGCTGTGGGAGGGGGCTACAGTCTCCCCACTGCTGTCCTTTGTTGTGTTGACTGTGGTCACTCCCGCCTCCCGTGTCTGCTGCAGGACATCCACAGCCTGGAGAGAAATCGGAGTAGGGAACGGGGAGCTAAACCGAAAAGACAACAGCCTTTAAAATGCTGTTGTGATAGGATAGGTAACTCACAGAGGGACTTTGAGTAGTAAATTCCAACACTTCTCCCAAATTCAGCTCCTGAAAGTTTACTGTGTATCCGGAAAATGACTCTTTAGTAAGTTTCACAAATAGTGACTTTTGGGAAGGGGGAAATCTGTTCATAAATGGTTACAGAATTAGATTTTAAAACATGATATAATAATTGGGCAACTAAAGACCGAAAGCCAACTTGGAATTGCTTGAAGGATGGGGAGTTTAGGCAACCAGTTCTCTCATCTGCTTTTTTTTTTTTTTTTTATCCTCACCCAAGGATGTTTTTACATTTATCTTCAGATAGAGTGGGAGGGAGAAAGGGAAGAAGAGAGAGAGAGAAACATCCATGTGAGAGAGACACCGCTTGGTTGCCACCTGCACAACCCCAGCCGGGGCCAGGGACAAACTGCAACTGAGGTTCATGCCCTTGGCTGGAATTGAACCTGGGACTCTTTGGTCTGTGGGCCAACATCTAACAGCTGAGCCAAACCAGCCAGGGCTCTCTCATCTGCTTTTAGTTAAGCATAAGAGGCTCCATCCTATCAAGGAAAGAATTTATTCTGTTTATGGAGCGGCCAGTGAATATAAATTTCTGAAGCTTCATATCTGTATCTACATAGAACATGTCAGAGAAGCTAAAGGGGAAAGGGAAAGAGAGAAAAGAGAGAAAGCAAAGAATTTACAGGAGCTGGGAAAGGAAAGAAGAAAGATCGAAAATAGGAGAAAGAGAAGTGTTTCGGAGAGGAACCCCGCCCCTCTCTCCCCCACACACCTAAGGAAACTTGAGCTAGTGGCCCTGCCCCTCTGGACTTTATTGATCGCACCGGACTGGAGACAGGTGCCACCGGAATGAACCATAACAGCCTGTGAGGGGGCTTGGCACAAAGTGCTCTGTTACTGGATCCTCTCGTTGACCAGAAGCAAGACTATAGATTCAGTCAGCGGGGTTCACAGTAGGGTTAGAAGCTGAAAGATGGTCAGGTCGGGTAGTAAGCAGAAGCCAGGAGAAGAGTGGAGAGTGGTGGGAACTCCAGAAGCCAAAGAGCAGATGACTGATGCTGAAGGATTCAAGACAACCCAGTGAGTCCTTAAAGGTACACTGGTTACCAGTAGCCTGTGAGCTTCCAAACCCAAACTCTTTGAGGCCCAGTGCCAGGGGACAACTAAAGTGGGTAGAGGAGAAGGCCTCCCCATGCACAGGAAATTAAGCCATGCATTTTCTGAAAATTGAAAGATAACGGTAATAATATTCAGTCTACTTGTTATTATCACCAAGATTACCAAACAAAATTAGTGATAAAATACTCCTCCCAGAAAAACCTTGATGTTGGTCTAAA